CATCAGGGACCAGACAGCAGTCTGGGATGGGTGGATGAAAGCCAGCCCATATGGCTATTACAGTGGTGTGCTCGTAAGGCCAAATCATAATTTGTAAGCTCATTTTAACAGTAACTATTTTTCTAATAAAGCACCACAACCAATGTCTGTTGACCATTCCCTATTTTTTGTTAGCGACTAAGGAGCTCACAGGTGAAACTGTGCCAATGAACCAGTCAGAGAACTGAACCTCTGCGTTTTCCTTGAAATAAATCTGGCTACAGATTGGTGGGTGGCCTTCTGGGCTGGGGTACTCCATGGCCATGCACCTGAACCTCACAGGCATGGCCTTAGCTGTGGTGGACAGAGGGGTGCCTGTCCAACCCAGCTGACTGAGGCCCCTGAGTCTTGAATATTTTTCCAGGCCCCGAGATTTAATAAGTGAGCAAGCATTCTTAAAACACTCCTCTCACACTTACTTACAACTACTGCTGTGTGAGTGTGTGAGTGTGTGTGTGTGGTGTGTATATCTCTGTGTTTGTGTCAGTGTATGTATCTATGTGTGTATGTGAATATACACCTCTTTTTGTGTATCTGTGTGAATGTTTACCTCTCTGTGTGTCTGTGTGTGTACACTTCTATTTGTGTGTCTTTGTGTAAGTATATACCTTTGTGTGTGTATCTGTATAATACACCTCTTTGTGTGTCTATGTGTAAGTGTGTACCTGTGTTTGTGTGTGTGTGTGTGTGTTTGTATGTGTGTCTATGTGTTTAGTGAGAGGGAAATAGAGTGATAAGGCAAATGTAGCTCAGTGTTAACAGTTGGTGAAGCTGGGTGAAGGGAACATGGGAGTTCTTGGAGCTATTTTGGTAACTTCTGTGTGTCTGAAGTACTTAAAAACAAACAATTAGGAAAGCAAAGCCTTGGGAGACAAGTGCATTCCAGGGGCCTGAGAGCACAGATAAGCCCTGGTCCGCGGTGACCCTGGGGACCGGCAGTGCACTAACACCATAGGCCTGGCGCCAGGGGAGGACTCTGGCTTTTCTCAGGAGGGACGGACATGAGGCTGTCTACACCAGGGAGCTTCGGGCTCAGAAGTGACCCTCTTGTGGGATGTCCCTGTGGTGATGAGGGTGGTGATGGGGCGAAATGAGGGTGGTGGTTGGATGAGGGTGGTTGTTGAGGCCAAAATGCTGCCCGTGGGCTGTGTGATGGGCTGTGAGCCCACCTTTTTGCCTGCAGCTCGGGCACCGTCACAGCGCCCGCGGTCCCCATGCAGATGAAGTGGGGTCAAGTACTTGGTGCCAGAGCTGCTGCAGGTGTGTAAGCTCCCATTTTCGGGCTTGCCATCTCGTTCAGTGCTGGGGCACCCGGAACCCACTGGGAGGCTCAAGGCAGACATTTTTCTCCCCGTGTTGATTTCCCCCATAATATTCTGTGCGAGCTTACCCTTTATTTCTACTTGAAAACTGAAAAGTAGTCAACATGGGAAGGATTCTTAACTCCAGTGATCACAGTGCCTGCACTGTTACTTAAAAGTTATCCTCACTTGAAGGAGCTTTGGGATGAAGTGTGTCAAACCCAGATGTTTGGAGGGGACAGTAATTTAGGCAGTTCCATCAGTTGACATCTGATCGATTTTTCCAGTTCTGTCTGCTAGGCGTGCTGGGGTTTCATAACTCACTGAGGGTCTCCCTGGGGGATTCAGGACCGTGGTCAAGTCTCGGTGAATTAGGGTGGCCAGCCGGAGATTGAGAGGTAGGAGTTGGGTTGTCAGACAGGCTGGATTTAAATTTCCACTCTCCGTTCACTGCCGGCTCCAACCCCGTGAAATATAAACCCCAAACCAAAGAGTTTGGGGACACGAATTCATCAAAACCAGCCTGAAGTTGGAAAACTTGTGAGCAACGCAGGGAACCTGCTTCTACACTGGAGCCACAGGAGCCGTGTGCCTGACCGTGGGACACATGCTGCCAGAGGGCAAACCCTTCCTGACAGCCACGACATTTTCCAGCCACGGCCCCTGTCCACCCAGAGTCCCAGGCTCAGACCTCACCTCCATGTGCTGTGTCAGCCATGGGGCCATGGATAAGGGGGTGTGGGCTGTAGGGATAGGAGGAAAACACGGTGTGGTCAGTCACATCTCAGGACACACACCTGCCACTGAGTCATCCTTACTTGTCACCTGGGAATAAGAGGTAATAATACCCCTTCATCTGATGTTCACAGGCTGTGATTTCGCGTGGTGTTTAACATTAGCCTTCTTGGATCTAACATGCTATGGATTGTCAGAGGGCTGTTACTTTGTAAATCTCAGAAAAAGAAAAAGAAACTCTGCCAATTAAATGCTCAGGCACAATATACACTGCCTCTCAATTTTAGAAATTTTAAATGCAAAAAAATGCATTCTGGAATTAAGAAATTACTGTGCTATTGGTTACATTTAATTTCTTTTCCAGAGGAGACGGGGAAGCAACATTTTGAAGTAAACTTATGGAGCAGTGTTTTAAAATGCCCCTTGGAAAATGAAAACAACCACTTCTCTTTTGCACATCAATAGGGGTTATTATGGTCCTTATGTAAATGGAATAAAAAGCAACATGCATGTATATATATATATAGATACTGAAAAATATTTAAAAACCCAGAAAGTGAACAAATCCAAAGGAAACCACTATGAATACTATAATCTTACTTGTGGAAAGTAATCATATGTGTGTGTGTTTGTGTGTGTGTGCAAAACACACAGATGCAAGTGCACAACACACACAAACCTCTGATTGTCTGTGTAGAGGAGATTTCTGGAAGGAGACACAGACATCATCACCTGCGGCTTTCTCTGGGCCTGGTGATGGAGTCGGGCTGAGGTTTGGAAGAATCGTACTTTCTATATGTGCCATTAATGACATTTGAGTTTCTGAAGCTGTGTCTGTGTACCACTTTTATCATAAAAATGCAATAAACAAGTGTTTAATTTCTAAAAACTCAAGGAGGTGCAGTATTCATTACTTTTGGTAGTCTTGTTTTACTTTTCAACTTGTGCCTTTTCCTATAATAGGAAAATGAAATGGGGAAGCCGTTTCACCCATTTGTGATGCTTATACCTTTTTCCTTATATGTTTTAATTTATAATTAATCTGAAAATAGACTCATGCCCTGATTCTTATATTTCCTAAAAATCATCACCCGGGGATATTTTTCCCATTAATTTTCAGAGTGAAAAGGAGGGACGAGGAAGGGGAGAGGAAGAGAGAGAAAAACATTGATGTGGAAGAGACACATCAACTGGCTGCCTTTCCTATGGGCCCCCATCAGGGGCAGAGAGTGAACCCACAACTGTGGTACATTCCCTTGACAGGAATCAAGCCCACAACCCTTCAGTCCACGGGCCCACGCTCTGATCACCGAACAAACTGGCCAGGGCCACTCCCTAATTCTTAAGGGTGGTTTGAATTCTCCTAATTGTCAATAAGGTGGAGACCGAGTGACTTCCTTCTAAACCATTTGCACTCAACCTTCTGTGTTGCACACCAGAGTCAAAAGGACCATTTTTAAGGTAAAACCAGATATCCCTTTAACACAGTAAGCCGCTGTGTTATGTTCCTCTAGGAAAAGTGTCAACTTACCTTAATTGGGTTTCTCTTCCTGGAAGATAACTCTCAGTTAATTTCTGCACACCCCGGCTTGACCCTGGAGTGACAGGAGAACCCTTCACCTACTCTATCTGCCTTTCTGCCTCTTTTGATTGAAAAGCATCAGTAGCAGCAAAAGTTAGTTCAGTTATTCAGAAATCTGATGTGAAAAACACTTTGGTGCAATATGCTTGGTAGACAATGGCCCACAGGTTCTTTCACCAACATAGAGGGAGGCCTTCACTCTTTCCTAAGAAATGGAAAGAGATGTATTCTATCGAAAACTATCCTCTCCTGTTCCACAGCCCAGGACACCAGGGTGCCCCGGGAGGGGAGGCAGGGTGCCTGGGGGAGACCAGGTGGTCTCGGGAAACCTACACGTCTGAGTGTCCTCTGAGTGTCTGTGAGCAAGCATCCCTGATTACCAGGATCCCGAGGGCTCTGCTGTGCTCGGAGGCAAACGTTCAATGAAAAGATGTCACCGTCCACAAGATAGAGCCCCAGCTAAGCCGCCAAAGCGCCATGTTAAACATCAGTCACCAACTGCTGTTTTATTCACACCAGATGCCACTTGGAAAAGATAGCGTCCAAGGTTATTTTTAACAAGAGCAGGTTATCTCCTTTTTCAAGATTCTCAGAGAGAGAGAGAAACACAGGCCACAGGGAGCAGCTCTGTTTCCTTCAGCAAATCCAGGGGAGCTGGCCACAGGCCCTCTCTGCAGCGTGGGCCTCACCCACGCACGGGTGACAGCTGCAGGCCCGGAGGAGAAGGATGCGGGTGCCGGTGTGAGAACGTGGTTGCCTGGTTGCCTCACTTAGTTGTCCCAAAAGGTTGGCTTTATGATCTAGTGTGATTAAAAACGTGGGCTGGCTGGTTAAACGCAGTGCTTTTTGGCTGCAGCCTGAAGGCACCAATACTGACTGTGCTGATGGGGAAATGCAAGTGCAGCAGGCGCCGGTGAGGGACAGCACGGCTGGGGCAGGAGAGCAGTGGGCAGTAGCTGAAAGCATGTGTAAGGGCTCGATGCAGACGGTGGTGGGAGGTTCTGCAGGTGAAGGAGGCCCTTCTGAGCAGAGCCGTTGTAGTTAGTGTAAGTGAGTGAGCCAATAGCATTAGCTGTGCAACAGAATAAAATACACCAGTTGTCCAAGAGACTATTTGTGACCACTGTACGTGGAGGTTTGAGGGTAGCAGGTGCAGTGTGACCTCCAGCAGGCACTGGGATTGGGCCAGGATAGGAAAATACTCTTGTAGGACAAATAGTGTATTTTATAAGCATGGTCCATTGGGCATGGGCTCTCAGCACGCGGAGAGTGGAGGGAGCTGCGTGTGGGCTCCCCGGGGGCCCGGGGCTGGGAGGGCCCCCCGGCAGGGGAGATGGCTTTACTTCTCCTCCGTGGACAGGCGGTGGAGCGCCTCGCCCAGGCGCAGCAGCTCTGCCCTGTGCTCCAGCTCCTGGTGCAGGCCTGCGGGCACGGTGTCCAGGCCGTGGAGCAGTCCAAACAGGCAGCCCGCGATGGTCCCTGTGGCCCCACTCTCACCTGGAACGAAAACACAGGTCCTCAGGGATCCCGAGGGCAGAGTGGGAAGGGGCACACCACGGTGAACTTGATGCTGACCAGGGCCTCTTGGCAAGGGCCTGTCTCAGAGATGCTATTGGGCTGATGGCTCTATAGCAGGCAGCACCAGGGGTTTCTCAGTCTCCTCTCCCGCCCTTGTGCCGAACCCTGGGCCCTGGGTGGCTTTTGCTGTTCCCAATTAAGGGGGTAGGGTTTGTCCCTCCCCAAACACCCTGACAACACACAATGTGTGCAAATGCCTTCGTTGTCATGGGTGCTGGGCTCCCAGGAAGTCCTCCCCGCCAGGCTCCGCAGGTGACCAGAGTCTACGTGGGCTCCCTCATGAGCTGTCTGCACCTCACGAAGACTCCTGTGTGCCCTCCCCCCTGCTCTCAGCTAGGGGTGCTGGGATGTGTGGGTCACTGCACCCCTTGGAAAGTCCCCTTCTCCCACGTCGATGGCCACCCTGCTGCCCTTGGCTCCCATCACTCTCTCTTGGGCTCCTCCTTCCCCAGTGGGAGCCTCCAGGCTCTCAAAGAAGCGCCCTGTTGGCCTCCGGGAAGTACAGACTTCTCAATCATCTCAGTACCAGGAGCAGCCCTCTGCCTGACAGCAGCCACTCTGATAGTGATAGAATCCATGCCCTCCGGGGGGTAATGTATGCAGGTATCCTCTTTACACCCACAGGAGAAAATGGCACCAGGGAATGAGGCAAGGCTCCCAGCCTTGCAGCAACCATCACTGCTGCTCAGTAGTGCAGGGGGGAACTCCTGGCACCGTGCACCCAACTGCCTCCCAGTCCTGAGGGTTGGGTTTGATCCTCTGACCTCACAGAGAGACCGGCCCGGAACTGTCTTTGAGCCCAGGACTGCCTGATTCTAAAGTGCAACCTCTCTGTGACTGCAGAGCCTGCAGAAGTGAGGGACAAGACGATGGTGATTGCAGGGATCAGCATGCTGCCCGGCCAGCACCAGTGGAATCTGTGTGCTCTTCAACCAGCAGCCACGAGGGACAGGACCCTGCACCCCAGCGACCTGAACCCCACGTCTCTCTAAGCTCAGACCCACGGGGCCACCCAAGGCAGCGCGGCAACCTGCCTGCTGTCTGTGATGTCTGTGCACAAGTATGCAGGAGCCAGTGCCGTGCCCAGAGAAGAACCCACGGTCTGGGGCTCCCTCATGCCTGAAACCTCAGACATCCTGACAGAATGCATAGGGAGAGGGAAGGGATGCTAGCCTCCTGGAAGTCCAAGGCCACCGAAGAAGGAAATCTCACCTCCGTGAAGCATGGCCCGGTGGCAGAGCTCCGTCCAGTTGTTCCCGGCTCCTAAGAGAGCATCGTAGGCAATCATGGGGGCATCGTGGCCCCGCCGCCCGCCTCGGCCTTCTGAGCTCCATTTCTTGTAGGTCTGAGGGGAGAGCCGGGGGTCAGAGGCATGAGCCCAAAGCAGTACCATGTCAGAACCTGAGCTCCCCGGGTCCGTCCAGTGGGCTGTTCGTGTACCCACTGAGCACTGAGGGAGTACCACCATGTGCCAGGTGCTGCCCGGGGCTGGGGAGGGGCAGCGAGCAGGGAAGGCTCACTCCTCATGGCTCCTACACAGCAGCCATTCTGAGATGGACATTTGCAGATATACAAGCACCAACAGCCGAAACCGGTTTGGCTCAGTGGATAGAGCGTCGGCCTCCCGACTGAAGGGTACTGGGTTCGATTCCGGTTAAGGGCATGTACATTGGTTGCAGGCACATCCCCAGTAGGAGGTGTGCAAGAGGCAGCTGATCGATGTTCCTATCTGATCCATGTTTCTAGCTCTCTATCCCTCTCTCGTCCTCTCTGTAAAAAAAAAAAAATAAATAAATAAATAAATAAATAAATAAATAAAATATATTTAAAAAACAAAATAAATAAATAATCAAGCACCAATAATCAGGCAGCCTCGAGGCTCATGAGGAGAAACAGAGCCGGGCGAAGGGGCTGAGGTGCTGTGACAGGTGTTACTACACCACATCCAGGAAGCCACTTGCTGGTGACATTGGGTGAGAGTAGGGCAAAGGGACAACAGGATCTTCCACGACCCCTCCCACAGGCAGCTGTCCCCTCAGCCCGTCGGCACTGCTTGGGGCTAAGATGGCAATAACAGCCCAGGTGCAGGTGGACCCCCGTGGGCAGTGGGACCCCAGAAACTCCCGGTCCCCGGCTGCCATCTCAGACACAGCAAGGCTTACCTTGTCCCTCTCCTCTGCGTCGTAACGGTCAGGGAAGGCGGCTTTACCGCCGCTGTCTTCACTGAGCTTTCTCTCCTCCAAGTAAAACTGCCATTTAGCTTCAAAGTAAAACCAGTGCTCCTGGTACTCTAAACGCAGAGAACAGAGTGGCAGGGTGCCATGGCCATCAGCCGGGGTGTGGGGGTCGGGGTGCGGGGGTGAATGGGGCCCGGGGCGGAGGGGCTGGGCTCAGGACCTTGTGGGCAGTGAGCCAGAGGGAACAGAAGACACAGGACAATGCCCTTTATCCCAGGTGGGGACAAGGGGACGGGAGGAGACCTGGCATCTGGCCTTCATGATGGCTCTAGACATTCAACATGCTTCTATTTGTAACTATTCTGAAACAAAAGCAAGGGAGATGGTGATGGGGAACAAAGGCCATTCAAAGAATTGCTTAACTCTCTTCTGAAACTAGACAGCAATATTTTTAAGTGTGTTCTTTGAAAATTCTGAACCTGGGTATTTTTATTAATTCAACACTGCCTGCAAAGTAGGGAGAGAGAATGTTTTACTATCCTAATGACCACCAGCTCGACATCTAAACCCCAGAGGGGGTGAAGCAAGTTTTCTGAGGTCATTTGGTGAAGAGGACGTTGATCAGAAATGAGCTGGAGCAGCAGCTATACTTGCTGGTAGCAGATAGGAGATGGCTCGATGAGTCTCAGAGCTCCTAGGAAATCATGAGGGCTTCGCCGTCCCCCCACAAAGTGTGCTGGGTTAACACACTTGACCTTGTCCTCCTTGAGAGCAGGCAGAACCACAGCACCATGGCTTGCCCAGGATGCCAACTGAGTGGAGTGGTGAAGTGGTCAGTGAGGCCCGAGGGAATCAACCGACTCAAGAGGAAACACAGATTCTGCTGTGTAAGCTTATGGTTGGGAAGCTGGGGAATAGAGGGCTGACCAGAGAGGGGCTAGGTGGTCACGGACTGCAGAGGAAAGCAGTGTTCCCCTGCCCTCCTAACCACGGGGACTGCAGGAGGTGCCTGGGGTGGGTCATGGAATGACATTCCAGATGACATTCTGTTTTACAAAACTAAAGGTGAGGCCCATTTAAGATCTATTTTGGTGAAATAAGATTAAAAGTGAAAGACAGTATGGGGGGGGGGGCAATGGTATATGTACAAAGATAATAATTTAATAAAATAAAAATAAATAAATAAATAAATAAAAGTAAAAGACAGCCAAAACTGGTTTGGCTCAGTGGATAGAGCGTCGGTCTGTGGACTGAAGGGTCTTGGGTTTGATTCCGGTCGAGGGCATGTACCTTGGTTGTGGGCACATCTCCAGTGGGGGGTGTGCAGGAGGCAGCTGATCAATGATTCTCTCTCATCGATGTTTTTAACTCTCTATTCCTCTCTCTCTTCCTCTCTGTAAAAACTCAATAAAATATATTTTAAAAAAACAAAAAACTGAAAGACAGAAGCAACAGGGCAGGGACCAGAATCCACAAATTCCATTAGCCCTACAGAGACTATTTGTATTTCTAACAGAGAGCTCATGCTAGTGTGGGTGCAAGCTCAGACAGAGCCTCCTTCCCAAGCAAATGGCCGGTCACCTTTGGAAGTAGATCTTCAAACACAAAAGCATGGAACTTACTTGCTAGCTGCCCTTGCTGCCGATGGATGCTGTCCTGGACTTAGCAGAGGCCCCAGAAGAATATTTTCTGGGGGTGTTCTATAGAACATTATTTTTTCTGGATGATTTTGGGCATTTTGTTAAAAAGGGATTAAGAAGAATGGAGAAAAAAAAGTACCAAGGGGTTGTTACAAAATAGTCATGAGGATGTAAAGGACAACATAGGGAATATGGTCAATAATATTGTCATAATTATGTATGGGGCCAGGTGGGCACTAGACTTATGGGGGGGAGCTAACCATTATGATGGTATACCGGAAACTAAAATAAACTAATACTGACTGTTAACTGTGATTGACAAATAAAAAAATAAAATCAAAAAAGAGTTCTGCCATAGAGGTTCATAAAACTCCGACTTAAACAAATTTAAAATTAAACAGAAAGAATAAAGTCTCAAAATTATCTGACCAATGACTCGTTTCTGTTCATGGAACATCTTTGACTATTTGCTCTTCAGAAAACACTGGGGAAGACCATTTGATACTAGAGTCCTGGGGAAATCTAGATGAATATAATGTGAATAATGCAATGACTGTAGTTTAATACACTCATGCTATTTACCTCTTTCAGATGGTTTAAGGTGAACCTTCTTGAGGAGGTGGGGTGGGGGGAGGGAGGGATGACTAACCCAGTGACCACAGACTAATCTCCCCAGGGTGGGAGAGAAGCCAGGGATAACAATGACTTAGACCAGATGAAAATGAACATTGTGGGGGTTGCCTCCTGTGTTCTATAATTAAGCTTATAGAAGGTGACTGCCTAGGGATGCTTTGACTGCTGTGAACATGGAGGCTTCCTATTTCTCACTGGAACAGGGACCTTGTGGAGAAGTGTTTCCCGGCATTGGGTCCAGGCAGGAATAAGTGCAAAAGTTGTTGTAAAGCTCCTGCCTCAGCCTTCTAGAATATAGTTCCTGGGGCTTGGAGGGTGGCAGTAAAGAGATGTGTTGGTTTTGTGTTTCAGGACATCAGCCTCAGGCTTTTCTGAAAAAATCAACCACCCTGCTCCTACATTCACACCTTTCATCTCCCTCCCCTCCAGGACACATTGGATACTATTCTAGAAGTTCTCCCCCACAATTTTAGACTGTCAAAGGCCACAGGAAGCTGTCTGTGTTTCTCATGCAGCCCGTGACCTCTGTGGGTCCGCCACCCGAGGGGAAAGCCATGGGCTGCCTGGTCCTGTGCCCACTCTCCCTCGGATCCCATGGGCCCATGGGGAAAGGGAAGCAAGCCGAGAGGAGCTCAGAGGCCAAAACGCCAGCAGCACCGTGATCCCCGAGGACCTTCGCTGGGCTGGCTGCGTTTGGCTGGGTTGACCATCTTCATGGCCAAAAAAGAGTGAAGCATTTAATGAGTCAACCGGGACAGATGGAGCTTCCTGGGACTGAATGTCATCAGCGGGCACAGACCTCTGTCTGGCTTTCATGTGAGAGACTTTAAGTCCCCTGGGTTAGGCACAGCTGTCCATTAGGTCCTTGGAGCATCTCTCATTCCCCTCTGAGACATGGGCTACTTAAGGATAGTTTGGAAAAGTAACCTCTAAGTACAGTAAGTTCTCACTTGACATCTTCAATGGGTTCTGTGATTTTTAAGAGAAATGATGTATAAGGAAACCAATTTTACTGTAGGCTAATTGGTATCAACAAGACTCAAGTGCCTCATCAGTGATTTAACAAAATGTCATTGAAACACAGATTTCAAGGATCTGCGGTATGCACCCCATTCTTCCTGGTACCTATGTGGATCTCCGTGGACTTCTTTGTGGGACCCGCCTGCTCACATGGACCCTATGGGGATGCTCTTGGTTTCATGTGGGGCAAATGGACCTTGACCTTTTTGGGGGCCAGGTCTGTGCAAATTCGCACTGAGTGTGAGTTGAGACCAAACTCTGCCTCCTTTCCTATCAGTGTCAAGAAAGGAGGCCAGGCTCACCTGCCAGGTGCCGGATGGTCTTCTTACAGTATTCTTCAGCCAGTGGGACCGTCTTCATCATGTCTCTCCCCCACTGCTCCAGCGGCTTGCCTTGTATGGCGTAAGATGCAAACAGGGCTGTGCACAGGGCCCCTAGGAAGCCTGGAGGGCGGAGGGGAGAGGACAATGGCACCGGAGCCACGCCCCTGCTCTGGAATGCTGGGTGTGTGTCAACAGAGGTAGGACCACGGGCAGTGGCTTCATGCATTTGGACCTTTATGACCTTTTGTTTCCTCTCAGCACATAAAGGCACAATACCCATCCTTCAAGGGCTTGTGGGGCAGATGATTCTAATCACAAACGAGAATTTGCCAGCTCATAGGGATGGCCACACCAAGACTGTGCCCATCAGAGGAAGGGCACTGCCATTTTAATTTTTTTTCCTCATTGATTTAGAGAGGAAGGGAGAGAGACTCAGATAGAAACATCTACGATGAGAGAGAATCACCGATCAGCTGTCTCCTGCACGCCCCCCACTGGGGATCGAGCCCACAACCAGGCATGTGGCCTTGATTGGAATCGAACCTGGGACCCTTCAGCCTGCAGGTTGGCACTCTATCCACTGAGCCAAACCAGCCAGGGCAGGGCACTGCCATCTTGCTGAGACACTCTTGGTGGCTCTTTGGCGACTCCTCGAGGCATCAGTTAGGGATCGTTTCAAGGGCAGGGGATAAGCATCTCATCCTCAAATCCAAGGTTCAATTACTGTCCTGCCATCACTCCCTCTCCTCTCATGGAGTGTTTCAGCTCGCATCTGGGATAATGCACACTGTAATAAAAATTCTGACACTTGCTGTCAAAGATGGTTCAAAAATTAAAAAGGAGCTCTAGCTGGTTAGGCTACATGTTAGAGCATTGGCTTAAGGACTGAAGAGTCCCGGGTTCGATTCAGGCATATACCTTGGTTTGCAGGCTTGATCCCTGCCCCAGTCAGGGCCTGGGGTGAGTGTAGGAGGCAGCCATTTGATGTTTCTCACATCAAAGATCTTTTCTCTATCTGTCTCTCCCCTTCTCTTCTACTCTCTCTAAAAAACAAACAAAAAATCAATGAAAAAAATGTCCTCTGGTATGGGTTAACACAAAAAAATTGTAAAGGAGTGGACTTAATTGAAAAGGAGAAAGCACATTTAAGTGCTAATTGAGTATAATACAATCAACCCTTTAAAACATTTTCAGTCATCATTCTAGAAATACATAAATGAATTCGCTATTAAACATGGAAAACAACATTTCTTTGATAAGATTGGGTAACATATGCCAAAACCGGTTTGGCTCAATGAATAGAGCGTCGGCTTGGGAGGCTTGGGGACTGAAGGGATCCGGGTTCGATTCCGGTCAAGGGCATGTACCTTGGTTGCGGGCATATCCCCAGTAGGGGGTGTGCAAGAGGCAGCTGATCAATGACTCTCTCTCATCGATGTTTCTAATTCTCTATCTCTCTCCCTTCCTCTCTGTACAAAATCAATAAAATATACTTAAAAAAAAAAAGATGGGGTAACATATTAGCCAATGTTTTAGGTGTTTAAATTCTCAACCCAGATTCTTTTTTTGGATACAATTTTAAATTTAATTTTACTTGAATTTCACAAAAGAAAAAGAAAGAGAAATTGATGGAATTATTGAATTAATATAAATATTTCCTCTAGACAAGAGATGTTTCCCCTAAAATGTCCCTTCAAGATTAAAAGAAAGAAACTGAGAACATTAGAGGTTGAAGTCATTACGATTTTTCCCAAGGACATATTTCCCTTTTTGTGTGTATAGACTGACTTCTTGCTGTGAAAGATGAGTTTGTTGGCCCAGCCACATGAACACACAGTTCTGAAAATATTGAGCCCTTCTGTACCAGTTAGTAAATGTCAGCCACTGACTCTGCCCAGGGCTCTCCCCTCTCCTGGCTGCCCCACCCCACCGCCAGGACCAACCCCAACCCCCATCTCCCCGACCAGAGCTACAAGGGAAAGGGGACTCTGGTCCCAGCTCCCAGTTACCTCCAATACCCACCACTTCGCCCAAGCAGCTTAGTTTCCATCTGTTTTATGTACTGGCTGTCAGGTAAGGCTCTCTTTGCTGAAAGTATTCAGTGGGAAAACTCCTGCTCAAGGTCAGCCCTCAGGCCCTTGAAGTTTGCACAGTCCGGGGATTTCTGAGAGTGGAGCAGGCCTTTCTCCCAAACATACTAGCTCCTTAAGAAGTCAAGTGCACGTCTGCATCCTGATGTAATTACCGTGCTTCCAAATGGGCAACAGACACAGGCCTGTGGGTGTAGAGACTGCCCCTGAGCCGGCCCCAAATCGGATGAGGCGGAAGGTGCTGGAGCCCAGGCTTGAGCGGAGGCGGCAGGAAGGGAGTGGGCTTTGCTCCGTGCCTAGCCCTGTGCCAGGCGCTCACGGTCCAGATCCCCTCCAATCCTGTGAGAGGTGTTTCTTTGCTCCCTTCCCTCCCTCCCTCCCTCCTTCCCTCCCTCCCTCCCTCTCTCCTTCCCTTCCTTCCGGATTTACTGAGCACCTGTCTGTGCCAGGAGCTGGGGTACAAAGGCAAAGCTAGCATCCCCAAGACCTCACCGCCCCATGTGAGAATCATCCAGAAAGCGGCTGGGACTGGGGTGGGTGCAGGATACAGGGGGAGCCCCAGGCGACTCAGGGAAGGTTCTCCAGTGGAGTGAAAGCAGAGCTGGGATTTGAAGGATGAGAGAGGGCATCCCAGTGGAGGGAACTGCATGTGCGAAGGCAGGGAGGCAGGAAACAGCCTGCCTGGTCTGGGAACTGTGGGAGGGTGAGGGAGCTCAGGTCCAGGAAATCTGCTGGGTGAGGTTGGGGGTCCAGAACCCACACCTGGACCCTCTGCCTCCTTGACCTCCTTTGCTCTTGGCTGCCTGGGGAGGAACCTGCTCCTGGCAGCTGGGGGACCACCTGTGAGCAGGCATGAGTTGGGGAGGTGGACTTGGGGTAGTGGCCTCAGTTTTGGCAGCTAGAATATGTGCAGGACAACCCAGCTGCTGGCTTCTGTCAACCCAGGTGCTCCGAGAAGCGGAGGCCCAGGCTGGACTCATTAGAGAGAAGGCCAGGGAGGTAAGGACAGGGCTGGGGAGGACCCTGCCTCATCCTGCAGCTGGGGGCTTAGCAGGGCAGCAAGGAGTCCCTGAGCCATGTAGCCTGTACTTCCCATCAAGCAGCCTGCCTGCTGTGCCCACTGCATTGTCACTGCCGAGGAGCCCCTCGGGGAGGGAGGCAGGGCCGAGCACAGACACAGGGATGAACCTCTCTGTGAGGCCTACAGAGAAAGGTCTAAGGGGTTTCCCTTGCCAGAGTCCCCAGAACTGGTCAAAGCCCCACAAGGAGGGGTCTGCTTTCTGAGGCTGCTGCTCCCATGACTACAGACTGGCCTAAACCAAGAGGAACATGTGCTCTCCCGGTTCTGGGGCCAGAATCTGAAACCAGGGTGTCTGGGGCTGAGCTGCCTCAGAGGGCTCCAGGGGAGGGTCCTTCCTGCCTCTTCGGCTTCTGGAGGCTCCTGGCTGCATCCCTTCGTCTTCACGTGGCCCCTCCTCCATCCTCACGTGATTTCTCCCATGCAGGTCCCCACTACCTTGTTCACATGCCCATTCTTGCATGATCACGTGGCCCCAACCCCTTGTTCATTCACCCACTTCTGGTTGATCACGTGGCCCTGTCCCCTTGTCCATGTGACCACTTCTGGTCGATCATGTGACCCCACCCACTTGTCCACTTGCCTATGCTTGTGAATTCATGTGACCCCATTCCTTGGAGACCTGAGACGGGTCTCTGTTTCAGGAATGCCAACCTCCTTGGTTGGCTGTCTGCCCTGCTCTCACTCCTGTCAACAGTCCCTTTGCCAAAGTCCTTCCCAAAAATAGTTTGAGTGTGCCATCTCTTTCCTCCTGGGACGGTGACAGTTGGGATTGAGAAGGAGACAGGAGAGCAGTGGCTTGTCCAGAGTCCATGCATGAGGTCCAGAGGGGCCTGTGCAGTCCCTGGAAGGCTGGGGGAGGGAAGGGTGCTGAGGTGGGGTGCTGACTAGGGAGTGGAACACACAAGCAGGGTATATACACAATCACCCCACACTCCTGTGAGAAGCAGCTGTAGCCCATTGTACAGGTGAGGAGGCTAGCAACTTCCTCGAGGACACACAGCAGTGAAAGGGCAGAGCTAAAAATGGAACCCTGGGCTGCCCACAGCCTGTGTCTCCTTTACCTGTGACCTCTTGGTTAACGGCCCCTCATTTGAAGCTGATGGGCTTCACCTTTCCCCCACCTTCCTCCATCCCTAGCGGACAGGGGTCCTGTCATTGCACCAGTGCCTCTGGGTGGCTGCTCTCTTTGTCCCGCGGTCCCTCCCATCTCCTGGAATGCCCTGAGCACGGAGTCTGTGCTGACATCCTACCCCTGGATGGCCAGCCTGCGCAGTGCGGCCACCAGAGGGGAGTCCAGAGGTAATCTTGGCAGAGTCCCACTGGATTGGGGTGAAGGCCTTGTGTGGCAAACACCGCCCTCCCCCTCCCCATCTGTGGCTTAGATTACAAAGTATCTTTATTTTTCCTGTGCCTGGCTTCCGCCACCTGCCTCCCCTGACAGATTTTGTTTTATCTCGAAAAGAAATTGTTTTGGGCGCTGCAAACCAGCTGACTCCCTGCATTCGCTCTGTGAGACGTGGCTCTGCCCCCCAGTGCTGCCTGGTCCAAGTCCCCGATGCCACCCGACCTCCGTGGCAGCCTCTCTCATTCCCTAGTTCTCAAACCCAGGGTTCAATCACAGCATTTCTCATTAGTGCACAGCACCCTCAGCGCCCCCCTGCAGCTCCAGGGCCTGCTGAGCCAGGGCCCCCACTGGTCACTAGTCCCTCAGATCCTGCCTGCAGCCCTAGGGTCCTCAAACCAGTATGAGAGGGGCTGGTGGGTTGACCCTTTAAACAGAGGGGTGCAGACACCAGGTGGGCACCCCACCCCTTCTGCCCTCACCTCCACCCCATCTTCTGGAATGCCCTGAGCACCAAGTCTGTGCTGACATCCTACCCCTGGGGGGCTAGGCCTGCGCGGTGCGGCCACCAGAGGGGACCTGTCTGCAGAGTGGCTTCCCCGGGCAGCTGGCCCCCCACCTGGCCCCAAAGCCATCCTCCAGCCTCCCACTTCCCCCTTCTGAAGAGGAACCGGGTGTCAACCCAGATTTTTGTACTCATCATATTGTTTCCACATGCTCAACATTTTCACGTGTGAAGGTTTTTTAACGTTTAACTTACTTAACTTAGTTACCAGATGCCCAGCGTTAACTCCTTTCCAATCATCCCAGATGTTGCCAACTGTCTGAATGATAGGCCTTTCTGGGTAAACTTTAAAGATCTAAGAAACTAACTTGTAGGCGTTACGGCTTAGCCTGTCGCTGCCTTTGGTGAACTCATTGGCATGTTTTGCCACATCCACTTAGCAGGGGTCACATTGCCCACTGCAGTCACACCCACGAAAGAGTACTTTCCAGAAAGACACGGGATAGCCCTTCAACGTGACCTTGCAAAAGGACTACAGTCACCGGAGAGCAGCTGGCAGCCTCAGGACTTCTGTGGGGTGGGACTGGGGCATACCACCTGCACTGCCATGATTAAGGGCTGGCCACAGGTACAAGAGTTTCAAGCCATTCTTCTTCTCCTTCCTCTTCTTCTTTCTCCTCCTCCTCTTCTTCTTTCTCCTCCTCCTCCTCCTCCTCCTCCTCCTCCTCCTCCTCCTCCTCCTCCTCCTCCTCCTCCTCCTCTTCTTCTTCTTCTTCTTCTTCTTCTTCTTCTTCTTCTTCTTCTTCTTCTTCTTCTTCTTCTTCTTTCTTCTTTCTTCTTCACCAGGAGCTGATTGCTTTCTTTCTTTTTTATTTTTATAAAATATATTTTATTGACTTTTTACAGAGAGGAAGGGAGAAGGATAGAGAGCTAGAAACATCGATGAGAGAGAAACATCGACCAGCTGCCTCCTGCACAACCCCCACCAGGGATGTGCCCGCAACCAATGTACATGCCCTTGGCCGGAATCGAACTCGGGACCCTTCAGTCCGCAGACCGACGCTCTATCCACTGAGCCAAACCAGTTTCAGCAAGCTGATTGCTTTCTAATCACATCACACAGTCAGGCTCTGGGGCTGCCCCACCTGCCCTCCCTCTGTGTGATGGACAGGTGGTGGGGGATCCCAGCACACAGCTGGCCCACTGTGCACACCGTGCCGTGAGCATGTGTGGAGGATGAAGTGAGTAGAATAATAAAACCTCCTAGCCCCACAATCATTCCTGATGCAGGTGAGGAAACAGAGGCACAGGTCATTAAGTGACTCGGTCCAGCTGGCATAGCCAGTGGGCCTTGGACCCGGAGGGGCAGGTCGTGGCAGCGAAGGACGCCTGCTGACTGGGCTGGCTTCTGTCCTGACAGCAGAACATAAACGCTAGCTCTCAGGACTTCAACCCAGATCTCAGGTGTCAGCTCTTTTACGTTGAAAACAGAATTTAAGCAGAACTGAAGATGTAAAAACCCAAGACTGCCAACGAATAGCAAACCAAATAGTGGATGGGACCACCTAAGGTTCCAGCCTCGTCCGCTGCCGGACTGAGAAGGACACAGCAGGCCCCTGCCCTGACGCCAGTGTTACCTGTGGGGTGGTTGTGCGTCATCCTGCCGCACTCGATGCTGACTTCGATCAGGGTCCCCAGCCGCTCGGGCTTCCAGTACCGCAAGCCAATGCACATCGCTTTGGTGGCAGCTCCAAACCCCGAGCCTGCATGGACCACGAAATACCTCATTGTAGACGTTTGCTCCAATAATTCCACTCTAGGCAATCTGGTTTTCATAAATAATCTCAAAAAATGCATAAAAATTGATGTAATGACATGTTTATCAAAGGGTCATTTGGATGAGTGAAAAACAGACTCATCATCCAAATGCCTGACAAAGAAGAGATTGAATAAATTGCAACGCATCCATGTGTTGGAATGTTATTTAGTCATTAAAAACAGAATTTTTGATGGCATGGGGAAAAGTGCTCCTACTATGCTTCTACTGGGGACAATGGAGAAGACAGAATTGTGTCCACAGTGTGCTTTCAATCACATATATTACCTGTTTTTAAAAACAACTTCATGAGTTATAATGGACACATAACCAACTGCATATATTTGGAGTATGCAAGTTGATGGTTTTTGACATATCATATACCCATGAAACCAGCTCCTTAAAAAGATGAACTTATCCATCACCCCAAAAAGTTTTCCCTGTACCTCCTGCCATGCCCATCAACCACTGATCTGGCACTAAAATTAGTTTGTATTTTCTAGAAATTTATATAAACAGGATCATACAGAATGTACTCTTTTTTCCTGACTTTTTTCACTCAGCATAACTACTTTGAGATATACCACTGATGTATATTAATAGCTGGCTCCCTTTTGTTACTGAATAGAACTCCGCAGTATGGATGTACCACAACTGATTTATCCATTACCTGCTGATGAACATTTGGATTGTTTCCAGTTTGAGGCTATTACAGATAAGATGCTATGAATATTCATAACCAGATCTTCATGTGGACATATGCTTTACCTCCGAGTGAAGCATGTTGCTCACTCACATGGTAGATGAATGTGTATCTTTTTAGAAACTGACAAACAGGTTTCCAAAGTGGATGTCCCATTCTACATCCCATCAGCAGCTCCTCTACGTCTTTGACCACATTTGCTATGGTCAACCTTTAACTTCAGCCATTCTCTTAGGTATGCAGTAGTTTCTCATTGTGGTTTGAATTTGCATTTTTGTAATGGCTAAGGATGTTGAGCGTGTTTTCACCCACTTATTTGCCATCCATATCTCCTCTTTGGTGAAGTGCTCATGTAAATAGTTCTCCCATGTTTGTATTGTATTGCTTGCTTTCTTGTTATTTTAAAGACTTCTTTATACACTCTGGATTGAAATCTTTGGTCAGCTATATGCTTTGCAAATATTTCTTCCCAATATGTGGCTTGCCTTCTCATTCTTTAAAAATTTTTTTTTATTGATTTCAGAGAGGAAAGGAAGAGAGAGAGAGAGAGAGAGAGAGAGAGAGAGAGAGAGAGAAAGGAGTATAAACGATGAGAAAGAATCATTGATCAGCTGCCTCCTGCATGCCCCCTGCTGGGGACAGAGTCTGCAATCCAGGCATGTGCCCTGATAGGATCGAACCATGACCTCCTGGTTCATAGTTAAAGCTCAACCACTAAATAAAATAAAAAATAAAAAAAATAAAAAAGCTCAACCACTGAGCCACATCAGTTGGGCAGCTTTTCATTTAAATTTTTTTTTTTTTTTGCCTATTAGGCTTCTATTATACAATATTTGCTGTTGCAAGAAGATATAGTACTTATGATTACTTAAAATGGATCCAGCTAAAACAGATGGTGTTGTAAATTTGTAAATATTAATAAAACATTTGTTAACCTTAATTTTATTTTATTCATGTTTCCAGGTGAACACAACATAGAGTTAGACACATTTATTAAAGTTGTATGCAGCTGAGTATTTGCTGGTTCTCCATTTTCAGGTTTAGTTTAGAACTGCATTTCTTTTCATTTTATCTCAGGAACAAGTGTGATATAGAAGCCTTTCATTCTTTTAAAAGACTCTTCTGAGGAGCAGAAGAATGAATTTTGGAAGTATTTGTCTTCTTCAATTTCCTGGAAGAGTTGTGTACATTGGTATTACTTCCTTTTTAGCAGCTTGGTAGAACTCCTCAGTGAGGAATGTGGATCTGGAGCTTTCTTTGTAATGTTTTTCACAGATATAATATAATTTAGGTGGTTATTTACTCTTAAGTCCCCTTTGGTAGTTTGTCTCTTTAAATGAATGTGTCCCTTTCATCTAGTTTGTTAAATTTACCAGCATAAAAATCTTCATAATATTTCCTTTTCCCCTTTTAGTGAATGGTGAAAGCTTTATACGATCTGAAGAGAACCTCTTTTTTCCCCTTTTAATTTCTGTAGAAACTGTAGTGATGTAGTGATGTCACTTTTTTCATTGTTGATATTGGTCATTTGTGTCTTTTTGTTTTTGCCTGATCATCTGCCTAGAGGATTATCCATTTTTTATCTTAAAAAAATCAGCTTATGTGAAGTTTCTCTGTTGTTTTTTTTATGTTTTCTAGGTCATGGATTTTCACCCTGATCTTCATTGTCTCCTTTCTTCTGTTTTCTTTGGGTTTAATTTGCTCTTCTTTTTTTAGTTCCTTAAGGTGAAAATGGAAGTCACTGATTTAAAACCTTAACATTAAAATCTCTGCCTATAATTGTGGCTTTATCTATTTCTCCCTGCAGATCTTGTTTTTTTTGCTTTGTATAGTTTGAAGGTTTGTTATTAGGTACATAAGCATTTATGTTGGTTACATCTTCCTGATGAATGGATGCATTTGTCATGATGAAATCCACTCCCACACACAATATTCTTTGCTACAAAACTTACTTTATGCATTATTAATAGAATCACTCCAGCTTTCCTTTGAATAATGTTACATGGTATATCTTTTTCCATCTAAACTATGTGTGTCTTTACATTTAAAGTGCATTATTTTATAAGCATAATAGAGTTGAAACTTACTTCTTTTTTTTTAAATATATTTTATTGATATTTTACAGAGTGGAAGAAGGGAGAGAGATAGAGAGCTAGAAACGTCGATGAGAGAGAAACATCGACCAGCTGCTTCTTGCACACCCCCTACCGGGGATGTGCTTGCAACCAATGTACATGCCCTTGACCGGAATCGAACCTGGGACCTTTCAGTCCACAGACCGATGCTCTACCACCGAGCCAAACCGGTTTCGGCGGGACTTACTTTATCCCCTCTGAATCTCTGCCTTTTATTTGGGGTCTTTAGAACACTTATATTTGATGTGATTAGTGGTATGGTTAGGTTTAAGTCTATCGTCTTGTTATTTATTTTCAACTTTTCCCATCTATTATTTGTACCCTTTTTCTCTCTTTTTCTGCATTTTTTTTGTATTGAATATTGAAATATTGAAGAGAGAAAAGTTCTCTCTTTTTCTGCATTTTTTTTTTGATTGAATATTATGATGATTCCCCTACCAATCCCAGTTAAAGATTGCCACTGTGAGGAGGATGGTAAAGACAGTGTCACCACTACAAGGAAAAGCCTATAGACCTATTCCTACTGTGCTGTCAATGGGTTCAGAGTCACCAAGGAGGACTCAGCACATGGGCCTAGGTTGGAACAGAAAGGAGAAGACACACAGCAAGACCCGAATTGTAGCACGCTGTGTCGCCCAGGCTGGGGGTCCCTCCTGAAGCCAAAGCAGGGCAGTGGGCCGCATGCACCCTCACACTGCAGGTGCAACCTCATTCTCTCCCCACAGGGCAGTTGTACTGGTGGGGCTGGTTGAGTGCCATATGATGCTCATGCCTAAGCAATACAGGCCATTCCCTGTGAACCCAAACAAGAAAGACTTCTCTTATTAAGGAAAAGAGTTTTGAGTTGACTGACAGCTCTACAGCTGGTCTCCTGGTCAAGGGTACTGACTGGGCAAGCCGAGGAATGGCAGGGGCCTCGCGATTTCTGCTTCCCCAGCAAATACTGTTAAAATGGTTCCACTTCACCTCTTGTGTTGGCTCACTAGTTACAACTATTTTGTTCTTTTGGTGGTTGCTTTGGGCTCATAGTCTAGATCAGCAGTTGCCAACCGGTGGTCTGTGGACCCCTGGTGGTCCGTGAGGTCCAAAAGATTGGTGACCGCTGTTTTAGATGTTTAACCTAGAACCGTCTGCCTCCGCGTGATTTGGTACCACTTCACGCCTCCTATAAGAACCTTAGGCTGCACACCTCTATCTCTTTCCTCCCTGCCTTTGTGCTGTTGGACCACGCGTTTGCTTATACATAATTTATAAACCTTGAGTACATTGTTATTACTTGTTAAAGTCCATTCTCTTTTAAATTAATTGAAATAACAAGTTAAGTAATCGTACGTATTTACCTATGTGGTGAATGTTTCCATCAGTCCCATGCCTTTGTGTGGATCCCTATTTCCATACTGTTTTTTTTTTTCTCTTTTGCTTGCGTGACTTCATTAGCATTCTGGCAGTGTGACTGGTAGTGATGATTTCTTCAGCATTTATTTACCTGGAAAAGGCCAGTAGGGCTTGGTTCTGAAAGATAGTTTTTCTGGGTATAGGATTCTAGGTTGAAGTGGTTTCTTTTCACACCTTAATGATGTTGCTTGACTATCTCCTCTCTTATGTTGCTGCTGTTGTCCTCACCTTGACTATACACTAGTATATAGGATGTGTGTTTTTCTCTTGAGCATCAGTTTTGAGCAGTTTGACCACGATATGCCTGGTTGTGGTTTTCTTCGTATCTTTTTGTATTTGCTTGGAATTTATTGAGTTTCTTGGATCTATGAGTTTACAGTTTCATTAAATTTGAAAATATTTGGTCCCTGTTTTTCCAAATCTTTTTCATTTGTTCCCCTTCTCTCTGCAAAGGATTCCAGTTTCAGGCGTGTTCGGTTGCTTAAGTTGTGCCATGGCTCACTAAGTGTCCTTTTCTTATTTTCAGGTTCTTTTTTCTCTGCCTGTCCCATTATGGATAGTTTCCTCAAACTCACTAATCGTTTCCTCTGAAATGTCTAAACTGTTCATCTCGACCAATGTGTTTTTAAATTCAGACATTGCAGTGTTTTTCTCTAGAAGTGTAATTTAGGTCTTTTATTATACCTCCTAGTGTCTACCTAACTTTTTATATCCTTGTCGGATAAGTCCAATGCTGTGAGGTTTCATCAAGTTTAATGTATTGATTTTTCTCTTTTTAATTGGCTTTATTTGATTGGATGCCATTCTTTAATGTAAAGGATTGCATCCCACCTTCAGTATAAACCCAGGTCCCACCTTCAATATAAACCCAGAAGGCCAGGTCCAGAACCCAGGAGCTGAGACCCTCGAGGCAGACTGCGGCTACCTAAATACATCACCCATAAACACGTGACATCTTCATGAAGTCAGACATTTCTGCCGGTGGTGTATGCTTTCCTTGATGTTTTAGCAAAAAAAAAAATTTTTTTTTTTACAAACTTAACGAGAAACTAGTGGGAAATATTTCTTAAAATAAACCAGGGATGGATGACAAAACTGCCGGGGAAGCTGGCGTCCTCTAAATAGACGCCCATGCTGCAAGCTGGCTCCCCAGGCGGCACGCTGCCCTGCAAATCCTGGCAAATCCCTCTCCACCCACACAAGGCGGCCGGGCGGCCGGCTAGTGGGAAGACAGATGGCAGTGCCAGGGGCGGTTCTCTCGCGCGGCTTTAGAGCAGAAGCAAGCCTTCCCTCACCCTTCTCATTGAAAGGCGTGTGCCAGGCCAGGAGATAGTTATCCGGCTTCAGCGCTGAGCAGCCGTCAAGGGTAGCGGGGTCTGCTCGATGTTCTGGAAGCTTCTCGAGCACCTCCACGTAGTGCTTCACCATCTCCCGGTACAGGTCGTCCAGGCACCAGTAGTCTGGGGGACGAAGGGAAAGGGGGGAGTCAGAGTGAGTGGGAGACACATCTGCCGGGTGAACCCCCACACAGCAGTGACAACAGAAGGGCAGTGAGTCGGTGGAAGAGGAGGAAGATTTTAGTGACCCATCTCACATCGCCCGGGCTACCCAGACAAACTGGACATGGAGACAAATAATTCGCTTTAGAGTTCACCAGAATTCGGACATCCTAGCTTATGGTTGTGCTTATTATTCCAGTTACACACAGGACCCTAGAAAAAACCAAGATGCCCATATGCTAACAGCTCTGTCCAGGTGAGGACAAGCTAGACCGACATCTGCCTGCTCCTGGGGTTTGTAGGACCCACGTTGAACGCACCAGGAGCGAGTCTCTCCCATCTTCAGTTCCCTTCTTCTCACACCCATGAAGCAGCCAGTGGTCCCCAGGCACTGTCCCAAACTGCACCCCGCTGCATGAAGGCGTTCTGGGAACAAGTGTGGCCTCAGACCCTAGAGATCACAGGGCAGGAGGACAGAGGGGCCAGCCTGCTGTCTGCTCCGCAGGTCACCTTCGATGTCCCCATACCGTCCTCCAGGACCCTGTTAGACTCCTTCTTCACACCAAGCATGTCAAACTCGCACGCGGCCCAGCCAATATAACAGTATGTAGGAAACGTTTAAATAGAAAATTTGTGATTAATTTTGTATTAATTGTCACAATTTTCTGTTATACATCATTATTAGTAACAAACTACAACATGTGACAATGACTGATTACTGTAATCGTGTTGCATTCGTTTCCCTTATGTGTCTTATGCACAGGCGCACCATTTCTAGCCACTAATACCGTGTTTCCCCGAAAATAAGACATCCTCCGAAAATAAGACCTAGCGCATGGAAAGATAAGACATCCCCTGAAAATAAGACCTAGCGCAACTTTGGGAGAAAAAATTAATATAAGACACTGTCTTATTTTCGGGGAAACAGGGGTACTAGCTGCGAACATTTCAGCAGCCGATTGCCACCTCATTAGTCTTGTACTGACTTGTTTGGTGTGCGCAACAGGAAATATTTCGCTTTTGGAGAACAAGAAAAATAGGCTTATTTGTGTTACGCTTATTAATTTGTGCAGTTTATTCAGTGTCTGGTAAGTTAATGTTCAAGAAAAAAAACATTAATTTTTATTAAAATGTTCTATTATTTTATGTTAATGATAACTCACTTATTTCAGCTGTTTGTATTCAGCATTTCTCTATTGAAATAAACCTACGTTTCTGTGAAAATTGAAGCTTTAGTTTCTTTGCAGCCCACATAAACTTAAATCTTGTTTATTTGGCCTTTGAGTTTGATATGCGTGGGTCACACTGTTCTTCTTCCAGATAAGGTGTTGGGAGGTGATGTGACTTGCCCAAGGCCAGGGCTGGTAAATAGGTTTCGATTGCAAAGCCTGAACATTTCCACCACTACATTAACCCACAGCACGGTGGGTTGGTCACGTGGGAGAGCAGGCCCTGGGGGTTGGTGGAGGGGTTGCAATGCCAGGTGTGGCAGGCAGGTATGGGGTGCCCCTGCCCATGGGTCTCTTACAGCCTCCACAAATTCGCCTGTGCTACAACAGCATGTAGGCTGATATCAGGAGCCAGCTACTGCCCCTCCTGTCTGTGGGGGTGGATTTCCCATCTCTGGTGGCTGGTGGGGGAGGGGAAGAGAGACCAAACAAGGACATGAAAACCCATGGCCATTTCCCGGGGTCCAACCAGATCCTCATCAGGCCACCTCAGACCGGCCCAGCCCAGAGGGCGAGCAATATCAGAAGTGCTCTTGGCAAAACAAAATCCTCCCTAGTCCAGGATGAAGCCTCAGGCCTGGCAGTGGCCATGGCAGATGGTACCCCGTATCCTAGAGTTGTGACCCGTTGGAGATGGGACCTGGGGAAAGAGTGGCTCTGAGTCCTTTGTTGCCATTCTCCAATCTCTTAACAGCAAGGGAAGGCCCAGGAGGCCCAGCCCACAGCTCTGATACTTGGCATTGCCTCAGTCTTGAGTAGGGAACAGAGGGGATTCGGCCAGACCTCGGTTGGGGAGAAATGAGTTCTGCTGGTCACAACACCACTAGAATAAAATTAACCCCTGGCTGGAGGTGTGAGCCACTGGGATCGTCCAGGCCCTGGAGCCAGCACTATCAGTTACAGCCAGCCATTCGTAATTAACTCAATCCTGGATTAACTCAGGTCCAGCGTTAATAAGCCTGGCCCTTCCAGAGTTCTCCCAAATAATTCCTTTTTATTCTGGAATCACATACCTTTTTAAGGAAAAATAGTCCCTAAAAACAAAATAGCAAGTAAAAGCCGTGTGCTGGTTTCAGGCTAGAACTTAAAGTAGAAACAGATTTTTCCCCAAAGCTGCAGAGCCTCAGATGCCCTGCCTGAGTTCCTCTACTTTTTGAAAACATGGATCCTCAACTCATTTCTTCTCTCTCTTACCCACCCAGTCTCCTAAAAGACAAACCAGCTTATAGCATCATCCGCAACTGATCTCACCATAAAGACAAGTCACGATACCAATACCAGGTTCCTTGGAAAGAAAAATGTCAACTTTTCAACATGTTGTACTCGGGGAGACATTGGTGGAGGAAGAGAAATCCGGAGCTGAGTCTGGACAGATCTCATCTGCTCTTCCGTGGGGCAGGCCCCATATTTCCCTGGTGGTCATAGACCCACAGGTGGCACTTACTTGCTGCTGTCCCCAGTGGGCAAATGACCCCCCCTCCCCCATTCTCCCTGCACCAACAGTGACAGGGCTACTTTGCTTGGCCACGACCGTTGGAGCTGCTGACCCTTAGACACAAAGACATTGTAAAAATACCGACAGTAATTAATTGCCATGAGTCACCTTCCCATATAACCTAAGCTGTCCCATTTAATCCTCACATAACTTATGATGAAGGTATTACATCCAGAAGTAAGCTCAGAGAGGGGAAGCGGGTTTCTGACCAGTGAGTGATAGAGAACCAGGAGTGTCATGCTCCAGAGTCGCTCAAGGGGAGCCTCCATCCTTGGGTGAGGCCACAAGGGAGCAGCTCGTTGCTCATCAGCTGTGTATCCTGGGTTGCCTACCTACCTTGTGGAGGATTAGCTACGTCCTATATCTGGTCAGTATCTGCTTTAAATTCAACACTGCCCCTTTTAGAGACACACCCAAAAGTAGGACATCGCACAGGCTGCACCTGACCTTTCTCATCCCGTTCACTCTCCAGCACAGCAGTGGCTCACCAGACCACACGGCGACAAGGCTTATGGGCTTAAGGCACTTGTTAGTGAAACGTAAGTCTGCCAAGATGTAGTTCCACTTTGTGAAAGTCTGCCTGTCTTTGGAAAACATGCTGGAAAACCACGGTTCACTGGGATCCTTGAAATATTTGCATGTCCAGTAGCCTCAGGTGGTCAGGACAGAGCTTTACCGAGAAGTTAGGCGTTGGAGCCAGGTTGCTTGGGTTCCAATCCCTGACCTGACGCTCACTGGGCTGTGTAGCATTGTGTCGGCTACTTAACCTGTCTGTGTATTGGTTCCTTCATCTGTAAAACTGAAAATAGCCCGGCCAGTGTGCTCAGTGGTGAGCATCGACCTATGAACCAGGAGGTCATGCTTCAATTCCCGGTCAGGGCATATACCCGGTGTGGGATGTGCAGGAAGCAGCCAATTGATGATTCTCTCTCATCACTGATGTTTCTCTCTCCTGCTCCTTCGATGAGAGAGAATCATCCATCAGCCGCCTCTCATCCCCCGCCCCCCCACTGGGGATGTGCCCGCAACCAAGGTACATGCCCTTGACCCGAATCGAACCGGGGACCCTTCAGTCCACAGGCCGATGCTCTATCCACTGAGTCAAACTGGTTTCGGCTAAAAATAGGTTTTTTAAATGAGCTGTTTGAAAACTAAATGTAAATGAAATTTCAACATGGATTTCAACGGGGGGAAAAAATGCTTGTTTGGGTTTTTGAACAATTCCAGGCAGCAGACTTCTCGCCTTTTCTCTCAGGACCCTCGAGCCAGAGGGTGCTGCCATGTATAGCAACTCCCCACTTCCCACGGCCGCTGGCTGTGATCATGTAGCGTGAACTCACCTTCCTTCTTAAAAGCAATGTCCCAAACATTCACAACCCTCTTAATTGCATACATTTCACGTGCAGGGTAAGTCAGGTCCTATTTCTGCCAACAGGACTTGACCCCATCTAACCTCAGAGAGCAGGTTACGGTCAGAGGTGCTCCGACCTGTGCCAGGTACCGTCCCAGGGGTACCCCCACAGGACAGAGACACACTGTGGATTCTGCCGTTCACAAAAACGTATTGAAGCGCTCACAGAGATGAGGGCAAACACGAGAGGACATATGGACTGTGTGCACACAGCATCCGTCAGACACAAATGAAGGAAGCAAAGTTTAAGCGTAAGGACCAGCTGCGTGCGCCTGAAACAAGCCAGGCTTTTGTTTGGAAAGCCATGCTCTCCAACAGGTGCCCAGGGGTGGGCATTGTTGCGCTGGGTTGCTGGAATGCTACTGAGTACTGTTACACACCAAGCCCCTGGGATCTTCCTGAAAACAGAAGGCAGGCACCATTTGGATGCCACAGCTGCGTAGACTCAGAAAGACACTTCCCCATTTTCAACACGCAGTGACACTTTATCTTATCGGTGGTGCTTTCGCTCGGCCCCTAGCTATTTAGGAACCGGTCACAGAGTAGATGGCATTCTTGTCCAATGACCACAACACTAAATCGAGCGTGCTCACAGCAGACCCAGGGAATGGTGAGGTGAGCTCATAACTGAGATTTCATTGACTCAACAGACGCTCTCAGGTTTTAATTTTGCGGCGACAGACTAACAACACAGGGTTTTAAAGAGCAAATCACATGTAGAAAAATTGTGCTACGCATTTATACACCTGAAACGTATCTGAAATTCGTATAAAAACTTGTTGATCCTAAAATCAACCTGTTGTTTAAAGAATATTTCACTAAACTCTGTTTCCACATTCCCAAATTCAACCAGTTTTATAGCATATCCTTAGGGACATGCCGTATATATAAGCAACGAGCCAAGCTAAATCCTATTTTGGTAGCTGGCGTTTTAACCCTAGGTTAGTGGAATTCAGAACCAACCCCCAAACAATATTACCTTCATTTGTCCAAATTTCAACACTGGCGTATTACCTTGTATTCTTTTGAAATAAATTCAGCAGAAAGCTTACTATCTGCGGTGAAAAGTTGAGCCCTCACCAGGAAAGCCCCAAAGCCAGATGGAATGGAATTGAATTCTGGAGACAGAGAGCTCCGCTGAGTAAACACTTTGCAAATAGAAAGCCATTGTTTGAGAGCCCGACTCTGCAGATAAGCAGAGAAAAATCATATTGTCATCCAAAAGACTGCACAAGAAACATGATCCGCGGCACGCCCGGTTTGCAGAGGGACACGGGTGTATATTAAATTGCCACTTTTAGCAGCGGCATTGGGTGACACCACGGCTGAAAGGCCACTTCGCCTTCAAAGCTCCAGTGCTTATCACAAGAGCTCGGGTCCAGCGGACACACTGAGGGGCAGGGGCAGGGGCCGGGGCCGAGCCTTACCTGTGGTGAGGGCCCTGGCCGTCGCCAGGTGCATGATGGTGTTGTCACTCACAGGCCACTTCTCCGGGGAGAGCACCAGGTGGTCCAGCCCCCCGAGTTTCTGCAGGTCCTCCTGGATCTTCGTGCCGGTGGCACTGTTCTCCTTGCGGGCGTTTCTGTAGCCCAGAGCGTCCCCGACACTCCCCAGCAGCATCGCAGCCTGAAACTTCTCCATTGCGAGTGGCTCCTCTGCCCGCCCACCAGCTGCTGAGCACGTCCAGCCTCTGTTGCTTCCCGGCGGGGGCAGCCCTCAGTCCACCCCACTGACCTCCCTTCTGGCCATTGTGTCACTGTCAGGAGCCTCCTCAAATGGCCAAGCGCTGCTTTCCTGTCTGCAGGTGGCACCAATGAGAAAACCTCTCTGGTCCCCGCAGCTCACAGCGCCTGCTGAAGAGCCACGTGGAAGTGTCAGCTTCCTTCAGCGTCCAGATAGACACTAGCCCTTCAACAGAGGAGCCTGCGGCTTACCTAGAGCATCTAGGCAGCATCCAGAGCACCTCCAGGCGCTCTCTCACAGGCAGTGACTTTCCAGCAGTGAGTCTTTCATCCTTGAAGAAATGCATTCATTTCTAAATGCTTGAAAGGGTAATTGACACACCAGGAAATTCACTCATGTCCCAGGCACAGCCTGATGAGCCCATATAAAGGGACACTGCTGTGCATCACACCACAGACTAGCTTTAGGACACTTCTGTTACCCCCAAGTCCCAGTTGCCCCGCTCTGTTCCCCCGCATCCCATCCCCAGGCATCCACTTTCCTGCTTTCTGTCTCTATAGTTCTGCCTTTTAAATAGAGTTACGCATTATGCAGCCTTTTGTGACTGGCTTCTTTGACTTAGCATAATGTTGAGATTCATCCATCATGATCCCATTTTGGGGGGGGGGGACTTTTTGGATTATAAAACGAGTTTCTGATAGAACACTGAGAAAATGCAAAGTGTATAGGACAAAGCATACCCGGCTCCATCCAGTGGGAAAGATCACGAAGTGTTCTCACAATTCAATGTTCGGCAAAAGGCTCCAAATCACCAGGCTTCAGATGGCAATGCATGTGGGCACAGAGCCTCGCCTTGCCGTGGCATCTGTGATGGTGCCATCAGCAGCGGGTACTTAAACACCCTGTCCATTCTCAAGAACGTTCAAAGATATGAAGAGGCCGGGGGTGGGGGGTGGGGGATGGGGGAGGGGAGAGGCTAGAGGGGGGTAGGTAGATGGGATGTCTAAACCAGAAATCTTGATTTGAAACAAGACGTTAGGAAAGCAGCCATTTCACTGTCCCAGGCCCTGGAGAGTGACTGCCCCTCTGGGACCGTGCTTCCCGCTTGTCCCTAGGACCTGGGCACATCATACCAGAAGAGGGAGGGTTTCACACTTGGACCTCAGAAACACACCTGCTAAAAATGGAATTTCTTCCAACAATAAGAGGATGCCAGGATGCACTTAAATGAATACATAGCACTGTAACAGCCCATGTTAAAAATGAGGTTCTAGAACATGATTCCAGCTAGCACAGTTCTGAGAGATCCTGAAGCAAATAGTCCTTTAAAAGCCGGAACAGGTGGCCCTGGGTTTCTGGGTATGCAGATTTCTTATCCACCAGGATCAGACAGACGACAGCAGTCCTATTTTAGACAACTCCCACTGCAGGTAGACCAGCACCATTGGCAGGAACATTTATTGTTGTGGGCAGAGGTCTAGCCTGGGGTGAGATTCACTTGCTAATTCTGGGGCAGTGGAAACCTTTATCACAGTTGCTAGAAGGAAATCCATACTATGTGGCCTATGTCAGCAAATAGGAAGAGGTGAGATGAGTTCACTGATTTGTTTGTGCAACATTTACTGAGCCCCAACTGTGTGGATGGAGCAACTAACAATAAATAAATAAATAAATAAATAAATAAATAAATAAATAAATAAAAATCAACTCTGCCTCCAAGGCATATTACACTTAAACCTACTGAGTGAAAGTAACACAACGGCATGTATCCATGTATCATGCCACCAGGACAAAAAAAAGCGACATCTATTCCAAAAATCCTTGGCAGACACTGTAGGAAGGCACTAATAATATATAGTACTAATTAAACCTATTATATTTGGTTAATTTGTGTCTTTTCAATATATCTATAGCTTGCATTTCAGTGTATTCTGGATTATATTTGAGATCTGTAATTGTTCACATGAAAATCATATTAAGTGCCACTATGTGACACTTAAAAAAACCTAAATGACTGCAGCTGCCAATGTTGGGACACGACCATTTAACTAGGGTGGTTGGCTTGGCACAGCTGGGAATGTCCCTGTCACTGGGCTATGGAGGTGGCTTTCCTGTAGGTAGCCACCCCATGACTGATCAAGAGGCTGACATCTAGTGGTGAGTACTGGAATAACCGAGGGTAGAATTAAACGTAGACCACACCAGAGAAAATAATTTATTTTTAATGTTTCCAAAGTTCTTAGCACTTTCATGGCATGCATGACTTAAATGTACATCATAGGAGAAAAAGAAACCCACCATCTTTTGAAGACCCTTAGTCCGATTACTAATGTTTTGATAGCTAATGAGGCCATAGAACATTTTTTCCTCATGTAACTTTAAATCTTAAGTCTCTGAGCAGAACACTTAACATGTCAAGAATGCATGAAGCCTGAAGGATGCTTTATATTTTGTTGAAGTTTTTATTAAAGCTAGCTTTCATTATATCAAATAGATGCTCTCTGAGAATCACAGACTTACAGATAGAGCTGGCCTTGCTTTTTCTTTTACAGACATGGAAGTGGCAGCCGGGGAGAGATGGAGTGACTTACCTGGGCCCTGCACCTAATCATGGGCGGGTGACCCCAGCTTAGCCTGTGGTCTCCGGGATTCAGCCCCTTTTCCAATCCTCCACTGCCTGCTGCCCTCTTTGAAAGATTTCTATTCAAAAGTATAAATAGTTCACATAGAGTAAGTATACGCAAACCTTGTGTTGCACACGGGCACTTCCTAAAACACAGTGAATCACACTTTTGGAAGTCAAATCAAAATGACACATTTTGGGCACACCTTCTGTTCACAGGAAATCTGAGTGAATTTCCTGTCCTGAAATAACCTCAATTTACTTTCTCCTAAAGCAGGTTGCAGGCTGGGCGGCAGGCACACTCTGGTGGAAGATCTTTTCAAGTAGGAGGTAGGATCCACTCAGGGATTTTTCAGAACTGCAGACAAAACTCCCATCTATCCCTGTGCCACGGACGGTCCTCTTTGACAAGGCAAACACCAGAAAAATGGAAGGGCAATGTGAGGCAAAGACAAGACTGCAGCTCACCAATGAGATGAAGGTTTCTGGTTTGGTTCTTGGGTTTTTTTTTGACAATGTGTATGTTAGTTTCCAAATGTGTACAACCATAACGAAGGGCTAGAGAGGACATTATGGAGATTACAGGTATGTGAAAGGAACAGACTCACTTGATTTTTAAATCTATAATTAATCACTCATAAAAGAAATATTCTTCATGGAAAAATGTCTTTTTAAGTGTAATAAAATACATTTCTTTAAGAAAACATACTTTACGAAACTTCGTAGGAAGTTCAAATGACATTATTGGAAGTAAAATAGACCTGCTGACTTGCAAGCTGTTTAAAATAAAACTTTCCTGGAATTATTGCATACATGTGCCATCGCTTTGGAAACTAATAGCTATTAAAAACTATAAAATGATTTTCAGATGAACATCTAGAGAAAATTAAAACAAAAATAGATCTGGTAAATCTAGATATTCGATAATTTAAAAAATATAAATCTTGAATTCCTGGCACCAAGTTTAAAAAAATGTTAGATTCCACAAGATCATTTCCTTCTGGGCACACACTTTAGCTTTGACTTTATAAAAATACAATATCCTACCAAGGACACAAATCCTTTTTTTAAGTGTAATTACAATATAATTCAGCGGACTGTGGTAACTGCTGGTGTTCACCTGAAATCATGAATTATCGGCATGCTCTGCAGTCCTGCTAACAGGCTCTAGTACTTTGTTCATAAATATAAAAATCATGCAGAAATCTCCTAAAGCAACAGCTATGCGACCCCTCTGCGGACATTCCTCAGCAGCTCTCTTCTGAGGGACTCCCACGGTGTCCAAACTCCGCCACCGTGTCCTTCAGGCAGAGTGAGATGGTCATTCCAGTTCCGTGGCTTCTGAAATCAGTGACACGTGTGCACAGAAACGAACCAAAATGTCTCCTTGCAGGTGGCAGTTCCTTTTACAATCCTAATCCATGTTCATTTTCTGCCTAGAAAGGGCTGTGTTTGCCACCTGTGACTACGGGCCGTGCATATTCTACGAAGTCATCTATAAGAACAGGCCATGCTCCTAAAAAGAAGCAAAAATATGTTTTTTTAAATGTACATTTTAGAGCAGTATTTAAAAAATTTAAAAAAATATATATATTTTATTGATTTTTTACAGAGAGGAAGGGAGAGAGATAGAGAGCTAGAAACGTCGATGAGAGAGAAACATCGACCTGTTGCCTCTTGCACACCCCCTACTGGGATGTGCCCGCAACCAATGTACATGCCCTTGACGGGAATCGAATGTGGGACCTTTCAGTCTGCAAACCGACGCTCTATCCACTGAGCCAAACTGGCTTCGGCTAGAGCAGTATTTTTTATTCAAAGCACTGTTTTCATAATCTAACACTTATAGTTAAAAAAATTCAAATGATTTTTAATTTCCACAGCTTGTGCTTCACTTAACTGCTGAAGTTATCCACTTCTGCTCTAGCCGGACCTGGGCCAGCAGATCCAGGTGTGCTCGTGTAGGCATGGCCCTCACTGACAACAGTGGCACCAGGGCCAGTTGGGGGCAGGGGCTACTAAGCGTGTGGTTATGTTCATGTAGGTAAATGTAAGCTGGACTCATCAAATTAGCTTAACCAGCCTAAGGACATGAGGCACCAAATGGGATTACATCTTGGAGCAGCTTTTTCCAAACACCTGTCTGGTTCTACGGTTCTGCCAGGGGCTCTCTGCATGCCCATATTTTAAATGCTTTAATTTAGAGAGCTGTCTTCTTGATTAAATAAACCCTATTTTTCTTGTGTGTGATTTACGAGATACAATGAAGTGGATACTATTATTTTCATCACCACCTCCATTTCAGCAATGGGGTAAAGCCAGGAGTCAACTGGATCTATCTGACCCCAGTGTCTGTGTCACCATCACTGTCCTCTATTCTCAGGTTCATCTGACCCCAATGTCTATGTCACCATCACTGTTGTCTATTCTAGGGTTCATCTGACCCCACTGTCTGTGTCACCATCACTGTTCTCTATTCTCTGACTTGTCTGACTCCAGCGTCTGTGTCACCATCGCTGTTCTGTGCTCTAGGGCAGGAGAAGTTAACATACATATCAGCATTTGTGGTGATCACCCAAAGCACTACAACTTCAACTTCTTGTACCTTCTTCGTCATAGTTAGACATGTCATCTGCAATCATATTCCCAAAATCCAGAAGCAGGTTCCAAGTGTCCCTTGGGATTGACCTTTTGTGATGTTCCTAAAACAGAAGGGAAGAAATCACCAGACTTAAGACAGAGCCATAACTCTCAGATGCGCTAGTGATCTCGGTGCATAACTGGATGAGGAATAAGTATCATAAGAAAACTGTTAAAAGTTAAAAACAGATAAATGTTAAGAGTTACATAATACCGATGCGCAAATATAGAAAGTAAACTTATTTGAAAACAAAACATGTAAAATACAAAGATTATAAGCTCCTGTTACAGTCAAATACAAGGGTAGCATTTTTAATCTCTTTGTCTCACCCAGAATCAATTCAGAAACAATGCAGGGCAATTGGCAAGTTGTATTTTGATACATTAAATTTCTATACACTAGATAGGTTTTGCAGTGTATCGGGACAATTTTCTATAAGTATCTTCGTCATTCTATATTCTAGATCTACCACAGATATGGAGAGGAATATAGCACCATGTTCTATGGCTCACCAGCCAGCTGCAAGGGCAAACCTGCAACCCCAGCACTTCTTTCATCCTGCTCTCTTCTTACAGAGGTACTCATCCCCCTGGTTAACATTTATCATTCTCATGCCTGTCTTTGTACATATAGTACATGCACATGTATTCATAACAACTTAGATGCTTGTTTTACTTTTTTTTTTTTAATAATATATTTTTATTGATTTGAGAGGAAGGGAGAGGGAGAGAAACATCAATGATGAGAATCATTGATTGGCTGACTCCTGCACACCCCCTAATGGGGATTGAGCCTACAACTCAGCCATGTGCCCTTTACTGGAATCAAACCCGGGACCATTCAGTCTGCAGGCTGATGCTCTTTCCACTTAGCCAAACCAACTAGGGCTGTCTTACATTTTAAAGCATTTATGTAACTACTACCAAATCCTATGTAGTCTTCTGCAACTTGTTTTTGTTTCACCAACACTGTTTGAAATGCATCCAGCCTATTGCATATAGATCTAGATTGATTCGTTTTCATTCTCTTTAGTTGTATTCTATGCATTTACACTCAGTTTTTGCCCCCTCTCCTGCTTATGGACACTTGGCTGTTCCCAGTGTTGCTGTTAAAAAGATGTGAGAGGAGGTGAGCCGGCATGGCTTAGTAGTTGAGGGTTGACCTATGAACCAGGAGGTCACGGTTTGATTCCTGGTCAGGGCACATGCCTGGGCTGCAGGCTCAATCCCCAGCGTGGGGTATGCAGAAGGCAGCTGATCAAAGATTCTCTCTCATCACTGATGTTTCTCTCTCTCTCTCCCCCTTCCTCTCTGAAATCAATAAAAATATATAAAAAGTTATTTTATTTTATTTTATTTTATTTTATTTTATTTTATTTTATTTTATTTTATTTTATTTTATTTTATTTTATTTTAAATATGGGTGCAGGTTCTCAGGAGAATGTCTGCAACTGAGGTTACTGGCCACAAAATGAGAAAATGTGACCTGTTGTTAAGTTGAATGTAGGCATCATCATGCTACTTCAAGGAGGGAATTAAAATTCAACTGTTCTCAGTGGAGGGATGTGTCCTCAGCCAGGTCAGGGCTCCTCTCACATCACCGATGGAGCTGACAAGGGAGATCTGGCCACATCTGGTATCATGTTGTCTGATTTTGAGTCTGGGGTGTCCTTGTACTCCACACACTCCAAACAGTCCAAAGCGACCCTAGCTTCCCTTGTTTCACAGTGAAAGGAGCCCCCGCTAAGAAGGCCCAGATGACTGGAATGTCTGCCTCCAGCATAGACGGACTCTCTCCTAAAAGTGCATCCTAAAATACATCTTAAAATGGCATCAGATTGTGTACATGCATATAAGTACAACCAATGGACATAAAACTCTGGGGAGGGAGGGTATGTATGAGAGGAAAGGGGGGGGGGAATCAATAAAATATATTTTAAAAAAATGGCATCAGACTACGAACCCACACACAGTGGCAGGGTTCCACTGGACGATACAATCCCGCATCCAAAACCCCAGCCCAGGAGTCACTTTCGCAATCAGCATTGGAGCAGCCCTGCCTGAAACTCAGGGGCTGCCACACTCCACAGGTGGCTAAACTATGCGGCAGCCCGTCAGCTACCTGGTGATCTTAGCATGGGGCTTTGATTTACCTCAATGCCCACGTGTAATACTTAGGTGAGGGCTTTGATGTACCTCAATGCCCACGTGTAATACTTAGGTGAGGGCTTTGATTTACCTCAGTGCCCTCGTGTAATACTTAGGTGAGGGCTTTGATGTACCTCAGTGCCCACGTGTAATACTTAGGTGAGATAAATGCACAGCCACACAACCTGCTGACCCGCTTCACACTGGCTCACATGGCAAGAAGCAGGAGGGCACTTACCAATAAAAAGGTGTTCCAAAGATCTAAAAACTTAAACCTTCCAGATAATACTAAATTCCAATATGCCACAGCCATTTCTAAATCTAGCAAGAAGAGAGAAAGAGCAGTTAGTAAATCCCAATTTCTTTTTCTATTGCACAAAAACAATCACTTCTTAGCACACTGATATTCAAACAAAAGAGTACTAGTATTACCCAAGAATAATATGAGGCTTAATCCTTATAGAAGTATTCTTTAAAAAAAAAAAAAAAAAAAAAATATATATATATATATATATATATATATATTTTTTTTTATTGATATCAGAGAGGAAGGGAGAGGGAGAGAGAGACATAAACATCAATGATAAGAATGCATGCACCTACTAGGGATTGAGCCCTCAACTCGGGCATATTCCCTGACTGGGAATTGAACCTTGATCTCCTGGTTCATAGGTCAATGATCAACCACTGAGCCATGCCAGCTGGGCCAGAAATGTTCTTAAAATTATGGTCAATCTAATTTATAATCTAATTTTATAACTCTAGACAAATATCTTCAAAAAAGGATCTGTATTTTATGTTATTTGAACATGTAAATAATTATCCCCTAATCAATAATTTTTGGAGACTCTCGTTTTCATATGCATCAGGCTTCATTTAAACCTGAGCTAACCTGGATACTATTAATGCATATGGTGGTAGTGTTTTTTTAAGTAGACCAATGTGCTTTCTAAGTGATGAACTACAAGTTAAACAACTTTAAAAATAAAGTGACAGTGTTTTTAAAATTGACTTGCCTTGCTACTATAAAAACTAAAACAGAATCTGATTCCAAAGTAAATCATACAAGTTTTGTAAGGACTTTGAATTCCTTAAGACATAGTTAAGATAAATAAGAGGTTTAGGGAAAGCACTTTCACTGATGTAAGTAGAGTTAAAAATCTAGACTGTTATTAATCAAAGTCAATGTCCTCATTTACCCTTGATTGGAAGTAATGATCATTTCACCACTTCTATGCAATACTATGTTGTAGAGCTCAATCTTAAGATGACACCTTAATGTAATATGAATGCTGGCTTTTAGGACTGTGTTATGTTACCCCTAATTCATAGTTTTTGGAATACTGAAATTAATTCTCTGCTCACCAGAAGTTTAATATCTTTACTTTATATTTGCTTGACATAGAAAGTACAAAAAGAGGCCAAGAAGTTTACTTCTTAAAAATTGATAACCTTTAATCATGTTGAATAGTGCTCATCACTTTTAGATAGTAAAAGAAGAATTATAATGCAATAATTTCCTAATTATATATTTACATGTATGTCAGATAAAACTAATGTGAAGAGCAGGTGAATAAATATTTAAGGTAACATTTTAAATGCAAAATATTAAAAGATTTTCATTTAAATCTTGTTTGGTCCCACTTGAACAAAAATTATTAAAGTTACAGCTCTAACCTGAGATTTCCAGGATAGCTCATTATTAAAAAGAGGTGTATGAATGGCCATCAACCTGAAATAACATGCCCATATTTCCTATGTTTGAAGTCCATGATAGACTTTCTCAGTCTTAAATATCCTGGAGTCTTAATCAGAAAGAAATAAATGGTCAGAAAATGTCAGTGAATCAATAGCATGGAAAGACTCGCTGAACCTTACCTATGGGGCCCGCAGTATAATGCTAAGATGGTTAGTCTTGTCCAGCTAAGTCTACATCCTTATCACTTAGGAAGAACGTTAATTGAAATCTATACTCAACTCATCTTAATGATGAAAAGTCTCACACTGAGAAATGGAGGTAAACCTGGGAAGGAAAGAAAAATAATTTCATGGCAGACATTTAATCTAGTTACTCTGGATGAGTTTGGTCCTAGAAATCCCTAATAAAGTTCCTGATTTGTATGTTTGTAAATGACACAACCAAAAGTAAACGTATGCATTTTCTTTTTTTTTTTTTTTTTTTTTAAATATATTTTTATTGATTTTGTACAGAGAGGAAGGGAGAGAGATAGAGAGCTAGAAACATTGATGAGAGAGAGTCATCGACCAGCTGCCTCTTGCACACCCCCTACTGGGGAAATGCCCGCAACCAAGGTACGTGCCCTTGACCGGAATTGAACCCGGGACCTTTCAGTCCCCAAGCCGACGCTCTATCCATTGAGCCAAACCGGTCTCGGCAAACGTATGCATTTTCAATATTTAGTACTGCCGATGTAAAAATGTTTAATATTATCCAGCTATTTACAAGATAACAACAAAACTCAAAATGATAAAACTCGAGAGCTGAAATCATGAACAACAACTACTCCAGTGGCTATAAAAATAATTTTTATAGTACCTAGATTCTTTCCAATAATCTCTGAAAAGTCTCATCTCCTGAGTAAGAAAATGTTTAGATGAAGGTGTTACTATTTTAAATCTATGTTTGTGATGCTCTATTTAGAATTAGATAATAAAAATTACCCTTCTCTCAAAAAGAAAAAAAAAATCTTTGAGCAGATATAAAAATTAGCTAACCATGGGACTATTCCTTTAAAAAATCAATTTCCCAAAGCCAACTAATTCCAGACTCTAGACAGTATGAAACTATGCTAAGCTTCTTACATTAAAACTAAGAATCAAGTAGCTTTAATTATCTTCTTTATTATGATGACTATCAGTTAAGTATAGGCTAAAGAATAATCATATATAAAACAATACTTGAAATAATCAACAACATAAACTGATGAACAAAAACAGATTCAGATTCTGGAGAGGATCTACGATGGCTGCACAGGTAAACACCCAACTGCAGCCGCACACAACAATTTCAATGGAAAACAACTAAAATATAAAATGGACATTGCCCAGAGCTACAGGTTGTCGACTGACTGAAAATTCTACAACAAGAAGGAAAGAGAAAACCAGAAGGAAAATCAGAGGAGCTGAAAAATCCTAAGGTACGGAGACATGCTGCGCACGCACGCGGAGAGGACGGAGCTGGAGAGGAGGAGAAGGCTGGGTGCCTGCCTGGCATTCCCTAGCAAGAAGGAAATAAAAGCCCCGGACTGGGCTGAACCCCAGAACCGGCAGCGCTGAGCCTCAGTTCTGGGCCAGACCCTGGGGACCCAGGCTCAGGCAGGGGGAGACGGGACTGTGAGGCGGAGTCCCAGGGGAGCGGCGAGGGGCAGAGCCCCCGGAGTCGCGCACATTGCACGCAGAGGACAGTCTGTTGACTCTGATGCTAGACTCCCCGAGCGGGAAGGAGAAAAAAGCTCCAGGCTGGGAGGAACATGATGAGGAGCAGGAGCCGCTGCCAGACACCGGCCAGCCGGGCGCCGGCAAGGAGCCGGGCAACGGGGCCCCCCCAGGAGGAGGGGGTGCCGCTGGGCCCTCGACTGCTGATCGCGGGCCACGGAGCAGAGGCCGAAAGCTGCTTCCTGGGCGGCGCCGACCCCGGCAACAGGCTGAAGCCACGCAGGAGGCCGCGGAGAACAAAGGGGTGCCGCAGGCCAGCCTGCTGAGCTTCTAGGACGAGGAGGAAGAAACCGAAGAAGTTTTCAATGTGAAGAAATCAAGTTATAGCAAAAGATAGTAAAATTACTTAAGAAAGAATACAAAGAAGATCTTGAAAAATCGAAGACTAAAACAGAATTCAACTCAGCAGCCAACATTGCAACATAAATGTGTTAAAAAAAAAAAAAAAAAAAAAAAAAAAAAGGCAATGTTGGAACAGCGGCGGCCAAGCCCAGAGTGGCCAGGCACAAGGCAGTGGCAGCAGGGCCCGGAGTAGCAGCAGCCAGGCCCCAGAGCAGCAGCAGCCAGAACCAGAGCAGTAGCAGCCAGGCCCGGAGCAGCCAGACCTGGGGCAGTGGCAGCCAGGCCTGGGGCGGAGGTGGCCAAGCCCAGGGTGGCCAGGCCAGGAGCACCCAGGCCCAGAGCGGCTGGGCCCGGAGTAGCTGGACCCAGAGCAGCTGGGTTGGGAGCAGCCAGGTCCAGAACTGCAGCAGCCAAGTCCGGAGCATCCAGGCCAGGAGCGGCCAGGCCAGGAGCGGCCGGGCCCGGAGCAGCAGGGCCCAGAGCAGCCGGGTCGGGAGCAGCCAGGCCCAGAGCAGCAGCATCCAGGCCGGGAGCAGCTAGGTCCAGAACGGCTGGGCCCAGAGCAGCCGGGTCGGGAGTAGCCAGGCCCGGAGCAGCAGCAACCAAGCTCGGAGCAGCCAGGTTGGAAGCGACCAGGCCTGGAGTGGCCGGACCCAGAGCAGCCGGGCCCAGAGCTGCCGGGTCGGGAGCAGCCAGGCCCAGAGCAGCAGCAACCAAGCCCGGAGCAGCCAGGTCGGGAGTGGCCAGGCCCGGAGCAGCAGGGCCCGGAACAGCTCGCATTTGCCTGCCCATGTCCCAGGGCTGCCTCTCAGACATGGCTGGAAACTTTTGGGGGAACTTGAGGGTCTGCTGAATCAAGTGATAAAGGCTTAGATCTGGATGTGTTGAGTTGTTGTAGCCCTGGGGTGTTGGTCTGTGAATGCCTTGTGTGGGGTCTGGATGAGGTTGGTTGATCTATTTGGAAATGTCTTTTGTGTGAAGTGTATCCTTGGGCATGTGGAGGTATTATTGATTTGAGAAAATGCTAAGTAGCTGATTTACTATCTGAAAAATTTAAAGTTCTGAAAGTTTAAGGTCTCTTGCCAAAAAGAGGTTTTAAAGCTAACACCTTAATTTTAATGGAGAAAGGGGAGGACAAGCCCTTCCCACCCAGAACAGGTAATCCAATCCTAACAAGCAGCTATCTTTAAACAATGTGTTCATTTACATTTGAATGGCTAAACCTTTTGATAGCCTAAGGGAGCAGCCAGGCCCGGAATTTACATGTAAACAAGTTTGCTTCTCAATTCCCAGGGCAGAAAAAAACAAGGTTTAAAATTATTAGATTTTAAAATTTATTCTTAGAAGTGTAAAAGTTTATTAATTAAAACAACAAAAACAACAACAAAAAGGAGATTGAAAAACCTGATGAACAATATTAGCTGTTGATTGTAGTAGAGTCGGAGATACGGGAGGGGAGTGGACTGACTGTTCTCCGGGAAAGGGGGAGTGGTGGATGCGGGTAGAGACTGAACATAAACTGTGCACCTATGGATGAGGACAATGGGGGGTGGGGAGGGGGCGGAGGGTGGGGTGGAAACCTGGTGGAGGGGGGAAGAAATGAGGAACCTTTGTAATAATATGCACAATAAAGATTGATTAAAATAAATAAATAAATGAATAAATAAAAAATAAAAGATACTGAAAAAAAACAACAAAAAACCAGATCCAGAGACATGGAAGCATTGATCAGACTGTCAAACCTCAAAGGGAAGGTAGGGGAGGGTGCGGGTAAGGGTAAGAGATCAACCAAAGGACTTGTATGCATGCATACAAGCCTAACCAGTACAACAAGGAGGTGGGGGAATAAGAGGGGTTTGGGAAGGTAATGGGGGGATGAGGACAAATATCAATAAAGAAATTAAAAAAATAAAACAATACTCATAATCAGACACACAAACATGAAAGCTAAATCCCTTTTTATTACCCTTTTCCACTGACATCCATGCTTTTTCTAGGAACTACAGGAACACCTGTATCAATCTCTTTAATTTATACTGAATCTGTTAGGAGGCAGACCATATAATATACTTTGGAAATCATAAATTAAATTGTTCTGTTTAGGGTGTGTAGTCATAAAAGTATTTGTCTTGCTTTATTTCTTTTTAAAAAAATTCTTCAAAACCTTCTAAAACAGAGACTCTAATGTATTTGAAATGTTCAAATAATTAAATTATTTCCTGAAGAGGCTATTATTTCCCTTAATACAATTTCATATTCTCTCTCTTTTTTTTTAATCCTCAACAGAGGATATTTTTCCATTGATTTTTAGAGAGTGGGAAAGGGAAAGACAGAGAGAAATAATAATTTGAAAGAAACACATTGATTGGTTGCCTCCTGCACACGCCCTGATCAGAGCTCAGGCTGGGGAGGAGCCTGCAACCACGGTTACATGTCCTTGACTGGAATTGAACCCGGAATCGTTTGGTCCACTGAGCCAAACCGGCTAGGGACATATTCTCTTAATTAGCCTCATAAAGCAAAGAAACAAAATCAGTAACTGTTCTAATTCTCTAGTGAATTATTATTTTTTAAATCCTCACGTGGGAGGGAGACTATTTTTCCCATGTTCTCAGTTAGGACTGCTGCACACACACCATGTGACATGCCCTCAGGACTGCACACTATTTTACATGTCCTCAGTCAGCAATGCACACACACCAGGTGACATGTCCTCAGTCAGGACTGCACACACACCAGGTGACATGCCCTCCTCAGTCAGCACACGCTGCAGCAGCTTTCTGAGAGAGCAAGAAACCTTCTGTCCACACCCAGGAGGGAATGAGCAGCACATCATTTTTAAATGGCTCCAGCCCTGGTATAAGCAGATGAGGCAACACTGCATGAGGAAATCACTGTGCTCTTTGGCAATGTCTGTGGCTTTTAAAATTTGAGGTGAAGTCATTTATGCTAAAACAGAACTGTGGACATTTTAGGAGATTTAGAATTGTAATATGCTCATACAATATATATGCATAGTATAAAACAAGTAAATTGAAACCAAATAATATCAAATGCAAGATGCAGGTAGAATGGAAATACAGCAGGAAGAGGCACATTGTGGGATCTCACAGGAAGAGAGGGTTCTGACATATTTGTTTGGGAAGAAAATTATCGATTTCCAGTTTGGCCTGACATCAGTGAGGATGTGGTTTCATAACCAAGTGCACAGACTGAATGGAAGAGAGTCCACGGCAGAACCAGGTTGACGGTTGAGCATCAGGAGAAGCAGAAGTCTGTCCTCACCCCTCACAGAGACCGGCCTGGGCCAGCTGACTGAGCTAAGGGGCCACTGCCAGCTCGAGCCCAGACGTGCCCCTGCGCTCTCTGTGGCTCACAGGGGTACACCTGGAGAAGAGCTTTCCTAATGCTTCCAGAAGGACCGCAAGGAAGCAAGACTATGAGGCATTAGTAGTAGGCCCTGATTAAATTAGACTTTCAAATGCTTCCAGTTGTGTTAGTGCAGAGTGGAGCACAGTCTTATGCCCCTTCCTGCTGAGCACAGTCCTCAGTGCCCCTTCCTGCTGAGCACAGTCCTCAGTGCCCCTTCCTGCTCTGAGCACAGTCCTCAGTGCCCCTTCCTGCTCTGAGCACAGTTCTCAGTGCCCCTTCCTGCTGAGGCACAGTCCTCGGTGCCACTTCCTGCTCTGAGCTCAGTCCTCAGTGCCCCTTCCTGCTCTGAGCACAGTCCTCAGTGCCCCTTCCTGCTCTGAGCACAGTCCTCAGTACCTCTTCCTGCTCTGAGCACAGTCCTCAGTGCCCCTTCCTACTGAGGAACAGTTCTTAGTGCCCCGTTCCTGCCCATCTTCCTCATCTAACGCAGAAGTGCTTGCTGCCTAAATCTGCACCTGCCCTGGATCTGTTGATAGAAGGAAAGAAAGAATGTCAGACTGAGGGTAAGAATGTCTACTACACACACCTGCAAACATTCATGAGTGAAAATCAGGACCTGAGACCAAATGCTTACAATTGATTTTTCTATGAATTTTCAAGTCCCTTTCTGGTTTTCTACCTAATTTTCGTCATCCTATATAATAAAGATGTAATATGCAAATGGTTGTTACACCATGAAGCCTAATGACCGGATCACGGATCAGCCAGAGGGTGGGGCAGCGAGCTACAAGCAGGCGGCGGGAGAGCTATAGGAGGGGGCAGCAAGCTATGGGGGGAGAGGGGCAGTGGGAGCTATAGGAGGGCTGGGCAGCAGGTGGAGAACTACTGGAAGGCAGCAGTGAATTACTGGTGAGCTATGGTGCACAAATTCATGCGCAGGGCTACTAGTCTTATAATAATGCTTTTATTTATAAAAACTTTTCTTAAAAATGTACTTTCCAATATACCAGCTTAATCCCTATATAATTTTCCCTTCCAAACTTATAAGAGATTTTAATGAATGAGACATAAATAAGTTTGTTATAATAGGCAGCAAAATGTAGGTCAATATAGATTTATTTCTATAAAAAGAAAAGATAAAAATAAACTATATAGTACTTAGGGGCCAAACAAATTCAAATAAGCAGAATAGCCCTGGCCGGTTTGGCTCAGTTGGATTCAGCCCTCGAAGAGTCCTGGGTTTGATTCCAGTCAAGGCACATACCTTGGTTTCAGGTTCTATCCCTGGCCTCTGTTGAGCACAAACTAGAAACAATCAATTTATGCGTGTCTCTGTCATATCAATGTTTCTCTCTCTCAATCTCTCCCCTTCACTTCCACTCTTTCTAAAAATCAATGGGAAACATATCCTCAGGTAAGGATTAACAAAAAAACAAAAACAAAAAAAGAAAAAAAAAAAAAGAAAAGGAAAAAAAAAAGAAGAAAGAAAATAAGCAGAATAAAATCTTCAAATAAACAAAAAATTAAACTAAAATTTTAAGTTAACACATTTCCGAATGCACCATGCACAGTAATAACACAAGTTATAACAAAATCATACACCTCTGAACGGTGTTGTAGGTTCGGTTCCAGACCACCGCGATAAAGCCAATATCACAATAAAGTGAGTAACACAAATTGTTTGGTTTTTCAGTGCACATAAAATTTACGTTTACAATACACTACAGTCCATTAAGTGTGCAATAGCAGTATGCTCCCACAAAACAATGTACATACCTTAGCTTAAAAATACTTTATTGCTACAAAATGCTAATCAACATCTGAGCCCCCGGAGAGTCATAATCACTTTACTGGTGAAGGGTCCTGCCTCGATGTTACTAAAAATACAGTGTCTGTGAAGTATAATAAAACGAGGTGGGCCTGTACTAAAGCAATTCAAAGCACATCAGAATCGGTTTCAAGTAAGTTAGTTTAAATCTCCAAATCTGGACAAGACTAATGTCACCTGGCAATCTTAGCAACACCATAGGCGGGATCACACACTTGGCCAGTACAAACGTGCCCATTGCCGACATTAATTACTGACCTCTCTAACTCATTAGTCAACTAGACTAGATATCAATATGAGAGAACATAGAGCATTTGCAGATTCATTTACATTTTAAAATTCAAACCCAGAATTTGAGAGTAATATTGGTTGCGGTATTCGAGTATATGGTACTACAAACCGGTCTACCTGCACATGGAGCAAATCAATGGAAAGGGCGGAAGACGCAAAGAGGGATAAAAACATTACAGCAGGCGGGACTGACATTTTGTTTTTTTGTTTGTTTTTTATAAATACATTTTATTGATTTTGTACAGATAGGAAGGGAGAGAGATAGAGAGTTAGAAACATCGATGAGAGAGAGTCATCGATCAGCTGCCTCTTGCACACCCCCTACCTGGGATATGCCCGCAACCAAGGTACATGCCCTTGACCGGAATCGAACCCGGGACCTTTCAGTCCCCAAGCCGACGCTCTATCCATTGAGCCAAAACGGTTTCGGCGGGACTGACATCTTGTTGATCAGGTTCACTTAGTTTTAAGTTGTGGCTTTTTACACATTTGGATTTTATACTCACCTAAGCCTTTTTGCCCAGGGTTCTTGGCAAAGGTAAAAGTAAACTGATAGAAATCCTTAAACTTCACAGTGTCCTTAAGCTCCTGCTCCAATCTTGGTAGAAGAGTTTTCAGCTTTTCTGTGCTGTCACAACTGTAATGAGAGGAGGGGTTGGGGGGAGAGAAAGAGGGTGCTTTGTCAAGGGGAGGAGACCAGTCTCCCCAATCTCCAGCAATTCTCAGCTTCACTGAGGCTTGGGTCAAAGCGGGGTGGGTAGGTGGAATTCTCATGGGCCTCTTTCTCTAGCTAAAAAGCCCTTTAAAAAGCCTTGAAATGTTCTAAGATTGATTATGGTGATGATTGCACACAGTTCTTTGAATACACCAAGACCAGTCAATGGGTGAATTGTACAGCATGTGAACAATGTCTTAAAGCTGTCATTAGAAGAAAAATACAAAACTGCTTGCTCTCCTCTGTGTGAACTGAAATAGGAACATGTTTTAACTCTGCAGCTTCAATCACAGAGGCCAGTGCCCGGAGATGACAGGGTGACACCTCCCACTTCCTCAGTGATGTCGTGGAACTGAGTTACTCTGCCAGCCTGCCAGCCCGTACACTGCCAGCACCATACTGTTCCCTACAGAAGGAGAATAAACCTGTGGCACGTCAGCTACTGCATCACGGGGTTTCTGCACTACAGTGGGTTAGATTTAAAACATCCCAGTATAACGAAACACAACTCTATTGTTTTAAAATTGAATTTGCCTTCCAAAGTCAATAGCAGTTAAGATATTAAAAAGCATGTAAAGCGGAAGCTAGAATAGCAAACCATACAGTTTGTCCTTTTTATCTTGATTGCACAGCAAGGAAGAGAACAAAAGCAACACTTCATTTATCCACACACCCGAGCAGAGCAGGGCTGAGGAAAGACAACTGAGCAAGTCCTGGAGGGGCGGGAACTATCCAGACCAGCAAGTCCATGACAGCCCCCAGCCCTGCCCACAGCCAGTCAAGAACCAGCAGGCAGCAGCACCTGGGCGTGGCTGTGTGTCCTTTCCCATTTCAACCCCTTTCCTCCACGTGGCCACTTCCTCGCTCTTCTTTAGGCCCCATCACTCCAACAAGCATCCTTGACAGTGTGTTAGTTATTCCTGTGTCTGAACCTTTTAAATGGGACCTCACGGTAAGTATTATTCTGTCTTAGGCTTTCTGTGCCAACATTATGTTTGTAAGGCTCATTTGTACTGAGAGTGTGGCTGAGGTTGGTTCATTTCCATTGTCATATAGCATTCCATTAAATTCCTATTTTATTTTAATATTTCTAATTGATTTTTTTACCGAGAGGAAGGGAAAGGGATAGAGAGCTAGAAGCATCGCTGAGAGAGAAACATCGACCCGCTGCCTCCTGTACGCCCCTACCGGGGATGTGCCCGCAACCAATGTACATGCCCTTGACTGGAATCAAATCTGGGACCTTTCAGTCCGCAGACCAATGCTCTATTCACCGAGCCAAACCGGTTTTGGCTTAAATTCCTATTTTATAATTTATATATTCTACTGATGATAAATATTTTGGTTGCTTCTAGTTTTCTGGTTACAATGAATGTTGCTTAAAATGTTCTGTACATGTGTCCTGGCTCACATATACATGTGTTATGTTAGACACACCCAAGAGTACAACAGCTGGGTTCACAGGGTCTGTGCACCTTCAGTTTAATAAGTAACGTCAAACAATTTTCCAGTGTGATCATCCCATTTCACACTTCACCAGCAGAACACTAGAGTTCCTGTTGCCTCACATTCTCACTCGTATTTGTGACTGTCTTATTTTCGCCACTCTCAAGAGTGGGTTGTGAAGTTCTATAATATTTCATTGCAGTTTTAATTGTACTTCCCCAATGAATGAGATTGAGCACATTCTTGTATTTTCACTGGTCATTTGGAAATTCTCTTTTGTGAAGTGCCTGTTCAAGTCTGTTGCCCATTTTCAATTAGGTTATCCTTTCCTTATTGTTTTATAGATTTTTAAGTATTTTCAAAGTACTTCAGAATATGGGACGCCTGTCCACTTCCTTGATGGTGTGTCTTGATCAGCTGTTATTTTTAGTATAGTACACTCTATCCATTTTCTTTATAGTGTTTATTTGGTGATATTTTAAAACTTTCCCAACTGAATAATCATAAAGATATACTCCTACATTATTTTCTAGAGGCTTCTGCCTTTAGCCTTTCAAATGGAGATCTACAATCCACTTGGATTGTTGGTTCATTTCCATTGTCATATAACATTCCATTACATTTTATGTGTGGTGTGAGGTAGGGATCAGATGAATTTTTTCCCCCCCATATGCCAATTCTCCCACGACCGAAAGTGCTGCTTTTGCCATAATCAAATGTACCTGTACACATGGATTTGTTTCTGGGCCCTCCATTCTGTTCCACTGGTATATTTATCTATTCTGGTATTCAATACAACCTTTTTTTTTTTTTTTTTTTTTTTTACACAGAGAGGAAGGGAGAGAGATAGAGAGCCAGAAAGGTTGATGAGAGAGAAACATTGACCAGTTGCCTCCTGCACACCCCCTACTGGGGATGTGCCCGCAACCAAGGTACATGCCCTTCACCGGAATCGAACCATGGACCTTTCAGTCCGCAGACCGACGCTCTACCACTGAGCCAAACCGGTTTCGGCCTCAATACAGTCTTACTATAGTTTGAAGTCCTGATTAGCTGATAGAGCAAACCTTCTCACCTTGTTCTTTTTTTCTTGAAGAATTGTTGGCTAATCTCGACCATGCATATTCATATATATTTAAAATCTGCTTGTCAAATTACACACACATAAACCTCCTATTTATTAGAGATCATATTAAATGTATAGATAAATTTAGGGATCAAACAAAAAGTGTTACAACCTATAAATGAGGTATATTTCTTCCTTTATTCAGGTTTCCTATCTCTGAGTGAGTTTTCTCTATGGAGGCAGCACACATATTAAATTAGATTTATTAAACAAACAAACAAACAAACAAATCAATCAATCAGATTTACCCTAGGTGTTTTGTATTTTTGATGCTACTGGAAATGATATTTTTAAAAATTTGTTTTATTTTGTTTCATTATTACATTCATTGTTTTGAAATATCAATTTTTGTTTGCTGACCTTGTGTCCTGTAGTCTGGTTAAACTCAAGCTTGAGGTAAATCAAAACTGTGTGGTATTGGGTGAAGGACAAACAGACCATGGAATACAATAGAAAACCCAGAAATAGAGCAACACAGTTGATTTTTTTGTTTTTACAAAGATGTCAAGGTACTTCATAAGGTTTACTCAGCCTACTCAAGAATCCTCAAGCCCCCAATTAAAGTATGTAAGATGAACTGTTAAAGGCAGGTACTCTAGCCACAGTCAACAGTTAACAACCAGGAAAAAAGTGTGGGGGAAAAACAAAACAGAGCAGACACAAAAGCCAAAGTATATTTTAAAGCTTAGTGCTATTTAGACTGGAAGTCAACAGTTTCTGCATCCCTACTGGCAAAAGCATTGAGATGTCTTTATAATACACTTTTGAACACATGAATGATACTTTTGCTTGGTACATAACACTTTAATATTTACAAAATGCTTTCAACTTTAACTTCCCTGTGAAATGAGGAGAGCAAGTACCATTAGCAATCATTAACTGGTAATCTAAAATTACACTGTATGCTCCTTATAAGAGGGCATGAAATATCTAACACATTTTGCAAAGATTCACACTCAAATTTTTAAAGTATGTTTTAAAAGTTATGACACTTAACAAGATAACAGGCAAGAATTTAAAACATTTACTTATATAATACATTTCTAGACATTGTCTTAGAAATGCCAGTAAGTGTTTCTATAAGAAGCACTTATCTCCAAATCTCTCATTTTGGGGAAATTTTTAACAGATCAAATACTGTATAGTATCATGCTCATGGAATACTTCTTTAACAGGTTGTTTTCCATTCTAAAAGTACTAGTAATTCATCTAGGCTTTCCTAGTGCAAAGAACATGAAGAAATACACTATTGCACAACGTTCTCTTTTGTTTTTGGTTTTACAAAACCACCAGAAATGTGGTAAGATAACACCACAAATCAAAGTCTTGTATAGCTTATCATTTAAACAGACAAGACTGACAAACATTACAGTTTCATCAGTTTAATGGGAAAAAGGCAAATGCTCTATTCCCCCACCTGTGCTGGAATGCTGAAGCACATGCCTTAAGAGCATTTTACTTTAGGCTTCCAAGCTCCTTGAGCAGCTAAAAAAAAAAAGCTAGTTTAAATTGCCAACACTGAAATATCAGAACATCAGCAAGTCAAGCAAGTTGGCTTTTACATGGCCTCATGAAATAGTTCAATAAGTTTAATGATTAAAAGACATTTGTTATGTGCTTTCATTTACTTCTTGGATTTATCTGACAAGTGAGAAACATCTTAAGCTATTAATGAAGCTTTAATCCCAACCTTGTAGGTGGAACAGAGAAATACTACAAGCAAAAATAAAAATGACATTTTATTAGTGTTTAATATAGCAACACACTAAACTATACATTTAGTACAAAGTATTATGAAATAAGCTGAAGAACTGAAAACAAATAAAAACACCCCGATGCTTACTGTCAATTTAAAACTGGGGGGGGAAATTAAAAAGTAGAAAAATAAGTTACAAAAGGGATTAATCTGAGAAAAGATTATTAAATAAAACTTAAATTGGATTTTAAAGGGACACCAAAGGCTTCATATAGTGTAGCTGCATAAGAAATTTATAAGGTACACAAGTAAAATAAATTAATATGAAATTATTATTTACAGACTGAAAAAGAATTAATGTTGAAAGTATTTTCCTTTATGAAAAATTTAAACTGAGACCAATTTACTTACCCAAGCTCGGTCATGCCATCTACAAATTCCTTTTTGCTAAATTCACATTGAGTTGCTGCCCTGAATTTCCATGCTATAACCAAAACGCTGATACTGGCAGGATCTAGGCTTAAATCATCACAAAACTGTTGAATCCCATCAATTCCAATTTTATTTTCATCTTGTGGGTCTATGGTTAAAATTAAGGAAAAAAGTTATTCTATTTTGGAAAGTATTACTGAAATGTTAGAATCATACATCTACTACATAGTTCTTAGAAAGCTCATTTCAAATACATCAGCAGACTGTAATTTTCTACCCTATGAGAAAGGTAGCAACAAATAATGATTTATCTAGCAAATACTCCTATTTTTAAAGTCTAAGACTCTGGGCTTTAGTGAAAAAAAAAAATCATTGAAATGTCTTTGAGATTTCATCATTAACAAAAAATGTAATTTCCTTAAAATAAAATAAAATTTAAGTTTATAAAATTTTAGTTCCTCCAACAGCAAATTGTTACAAAATACTGCATTGTTATTCATAATATTTTAAGTTTTTATCACAGCCTCACCTCAAGATTGCTGCTTTTCTTTTAAAAGTGATTTCATTTGCTATAGTTCTAATGCTATTATACAATACCTATTTTCAAAATCATTTAGTTTATGCATCCAGATTTAACAGCTTGGAAATTCAGGTTTCCCCCACCTTTCATTTCTGGTTTATAAATAAAATTAAGAAACTTAGCATGGAATAAAAACAAAAATTACCAGAAATTCAAAAAGTAAAATCTCTTAAAAGAAGAATCCCAGCAAGATCTCATCAAACTAGATCTAGTAATTTCAGACAGACTGTATGTATCATAATATATTATCATAATATATGTGTTAATTCTGTTCGTTAGAACAGGGATAGGGAACCTTTTTTCTACCAAGGGCCATTTTTTTATTTATATCATTTATGGGTCATACAAAATCATCAACTTAAAAATCAGCCTGCTCTATTTGGTCAAACATTTCCTTAACTCACCCCTCATGCCTTGGCAGGACCAGACCAAATGATCTCGGTCTGGACATTCCCCGCCCTGATTTAGAAGGTGAAAACAGAACTTGTAGCTCTTTTACTTAAAGATTTTTTTTTAAATGATAAACTTTTGTCATACAAGGTTTAATTTTGGTCACTTAAGTACTATGTGTTACATTTTAAATATATAAACAAAAAGCATGATTAAATGAATGAAACCACAAATATCCTTCCACCCACCTCTATTGTAATACTATTTCAAAAGTATTAGTGACAGAATAACCTCTGTCGTGGGTTTACAGGATAAAGGTTCTTTAAAACATTCTCACTTGTCTTTCTTTCATTTCTATGCTCCTAACACTATAGATTTTTAGGATAATAGAAAAACTGCTCTACAATGCTCTCACCTAATAAGCAATCTTAATAAATGTCATATACAATAATATTGAATATTTTAAAGTAACTTTAGAAGCACTTATTCATTGTATATATTAATGCAATAACCAACATTATATTTGTCCTTGAACAACACTGTATATTTATTTTTAGAACCCCCAAATGATTATATCATATATCTATTTTAAGTAACTAAAATTATGTGAATAATACTAAATGAAGGGATGGAGTTTAAACTAAAGAAAAATGACAATTTTCACTTACATAACTGTATTTTTTCAAAGGCAGCTGCACATATTTGAATAATTTTAAAAATCTGCATAGCATCTGATTTACAAAATTAGCTCAACAATTAACAGCCAAAAAATTTAAAGCATACTAAAGCTTAATTAAAAATAATGTTCATTTTTTCAAGAACTACAAGTACAAATCTTCTTTTAGCCATAGAATATGTTTCTGAACCAAGATTTTTAAAAAAAATGCAATTCTCAATCCATTCTTCAAGTCTAGACAGATTAAAATATACACACAGTATTATCAAAAGTAAAACATGAAAACAATAAACAAGAATTTAAAGCAACAGGAGTTATGCTGTTTGAGTTAATACTTGCTTAAATTAGTGGGTTGTTTTGTTTTGTTTTTCATTTGGGAAATAAAGGGATTGGCCTTAGAAACTCCTAGGGAAAAAACAACATAGTAAACTCTTGAATCTTGCTGCCTCTCCCATCACAGCAGAGATGTGACATTTCATACGAATTTAAAAGCCTGCCAAGGATTTGAATCTGTATACACTCAACATGCAGACTTTTTTTCTTTTAATGCAGACTTATTTGTGCAGTCTGACTATATTTTTGTTGTTGTTGTTGTTGTTGTTGTTAATCCTCATTCAAGGATTTTTTCCCCATTGAGTTTTAGAGAAATTGAAAGAGACATCAATTGGTTGCCTCCAGCATGCGCCCCAACTGGGGCCAGGGATCGAGCCCACAACTGAAGTATGTGCCCTTGAATGGAATGGAATCTGGGGCCCTTGGGTGCGGGCCTGCTCCTGACCACTGAACTGAACCGGCCAGAGCACAGTATGGCTGTATTTTGATATGGAAAGCTCCATTTGTGGTGTTGCTTTCAATAAAAATAACAACTGTTCCCAAGTTCCAACAGGTTTCTTTAGGAAGAGCTTTCCCCAAAGCTCATGCAATAACGGAAGTTGTTTCAGTGTTACAACACTGCTAACTGTGTTAAGAGATGGATGACTTTTCCTGCCACATCAGAACTATTTTTATGATTTGGTACTGTTTGTTTATTTTCATATGTATTTTAATTTATTTCAAAGAGGAAGGGAAGAGAAAAGAGATAGAAACATCCATGATGAGAGAGAATCATTCATTGGCTGCCTCCTATACACCCTGCCCTGGGGATCGAGTCCACAACCCAGGCATGTCCCCTGACTGGAATCAAACTATGACCTTCTGGTTCATAGGTCAATGCTCAACCACTGAGCCATGCCTGGCAAGGCATTTCTGGTACTGTTTTTAAACAACTTTCCACTACCAATATTCAGCCTGGATGGTCTGCTTGGGGAAAAACACTCTATTCACAGGTGTAGTCACCTGGTCACAACACTATACCATTGATGGTTCCCCTGCCACTAGTGATCCCACCAGGGAGAGCTGACTGCCAATCAGTCTTTAGACTCCTCTCTTCTCATCCCACCCATAATCTACATTGCTGAATAGTCACAGTTCCCTTTAAACTGGATTTTTGCAGCTGAGTATCAACAGCATCATGAAGGTCTTTTGAACACAGCATCAGAAATTCAACAAACGACATTCGTCTGTTCCCTAGGATGGAGGCGAGTTCTTTACTGTCCGCCCTGTGGTCACCGTCACCCCTTACCTTTGTACCTGTTATACAGCTGCTCCAGCTTCTTCTTGTCCACCGTGTTTTTCATGGATTCCTTGTGGAACGAGTCTGGGTTTTGGAAGAAGTTGTCGGTGGCCACGTCTAGTTTCCACTCATTCTGTGTTAAGCAGTAGATGGCGGTTCTTTCGCCAGCCTGAGTAAATGCCATAAACTGGCGGACCTTGTCCTTCTGAGATGACTTAAGCTTATGCTTTGGGATGCAAAAGAAGCAGGAAAGCCCATGAAGCCAATCCAGAGGTTTGTTTCAGCATTCTATTCCTAAGGCCTATAGTTTAACTGGACTTAGTTTTGTTTTGTTTTTCTTGTTGGGTGACTCAACTTCACTTCAGAATTACAGGAAGACAAAGGCTTGTTCTTCATCAGTTAAAAAGACTGCACAGCCTTCTGAAAATTGAAACGACAGCATCTATATAGCAACAGACAGGCAAAGTCTAATCTTCAAAACATTATGAGGCTCAATATCTCATACAAAACACATTTTCTTCTCTACCCACTTCAATTTGCATGAAGCACCTTATTTTTCCCCCTAAGTCTCAGTAAATCCCTCTTAATAACACAGGAGGCCTCTGATGAAATGAGGTCGGGTACTGGACCCAAGGCCTGACCATGTCACTGCCACCCAACTGTTCTCTTCGGCAATTAATTTCAGGCTCTGATGGATGGAGGAGGGCTTCCCAGTTTGAAAACATCTTTTAAAAGTTTTTCCCAGTTTAAAATCGGCAGAACCACATTAATCAACACATTCACACACAATTAAGCATAGTGTGAAAAAAATTTACGAAAGTTCCAAAAGCAGGCACAAAAAGCTTGTTACGGTAAAATGGATATGATACTAATAGCAAGAATGTCTGTGTACGTGAGACAGAAATAAAATAGAAAAATAGGGCAGAGGCTATGAGGCAGTAAACAGCAAAACTGCCAAGTAACTGTACTATATATAGTATATAATGAAACAAAATAACATCTTAATACTTCCAGATATAGGATGGTAAAGTTTCCATTTATCTAAGGTAACTTGATGAAAATGACACTAGAAATAAAAGTGATACACTAATTTCTGTAAATCAAAATGGACTCAATCTATTATACTAGATGCTAATACTTTACTCATAAGGGGGAAATTTTTACTTGAGAATTTAAACTCAACCTTGTTTTAAAAAAGATGAGACTGTTAACAGAAACACAAAATAGAATATAACGTACAAAAATATGTAAATGGAAAACAAGTTACAGATGAAGAAACTGATAGGAGGGAAAAAGGAAACTAAGAAAGCCGAGGACACGATACAGACATGCACACCCTATACAAGAGCTGGAAATTAAGCTCCAAGCTTCCCAGTTGCCAAAGCAGGGAAGAAAAGAGGACTGGATGGAAAATCTGTTTTTATAAGATTGAAAAACCTACCAGGGGCCCAGAAGAGACACAGTTCCTCCTGTCACTGAAACCCTGCGGCTGCTCACGAAAGGGCAGTGAGCAGTGTCCCCTTCGTACCAGGCTGACTCCTCACAAAATGCCAACCGCAAGCAGCAGGGCAGGCTTCCAGAGCTTTCCTTAAGGCACCCTCTGTGCGTGCGGAAGCCAAGGGAGCACGGCGTACGTAATTCAGCAGGAGCACAGACAATGCAGTCCAGTACACTGCTCCCCACTTGTGGTCTGAGGACCCCAGGATCCATGACAACACAACCATCTTCATAACGATTCCAAGCCACTTTCCGGCCTTCTCACTTCCAATGGTGTACACTAACGCTTCCCAAGGCTGCATAGCTTGTGATACCACAACAGAGTGAGTGCAGAACCCTTGAGAACCTATCTTTTATTAAGCTGGACATTAAAGATAATTTGCAAAAAAGGTAATGCAATGCAAATACATAATGGTTTTATTGTTATTGTTATTATTATTAAGAATATAAATGTTTTTAAACTTTCCATTTTTATTTCTAATATGGCACATACAACCCCCATTAAACAAAAGCTCTTTGGGGTCCCCATAATTTTTTAAAGCGTATAGGGGACATGGGATTAAAATATTTGAGAACTGATCTATGGTAACACAGAAAATAAACGAGTTGGCTACTAAGAACAATGTTGCTCATTTTGGGCGTTGGGTCCCATTTGGAATCTGATGAAAGTCACAGAACTTCCACCAGGAAAACATATGTGGTACATGTGGTGCACACATGTGCATGCAGTTTTGCATGTAATTTCAGGGTTTTCATAGAACACTTAAACCCATCTATTGGTTCCTCAGAGGATAGGGGATGGTGGAACTCCGATTAAGAACTGATGCCCGGCTAGTGTAATTCAGTGGTTGAGTGTCAATTCATGAACCAGGAGGTCATGGTTTGATTCCTGGTCAGAGCACATGCCTGGGTTTCAGACTCAATCCCCAGTAGGGGGTATACAGGAGGCAGCTGATGAATAATTCTTTCTAATCATTGATGTTTCCTTCTCTCCCTCTCCTTTCCTCTCTCTGAAATCAATTTTTTAAAATGAAGATAAATGCACTTAAAAAAAAAAAAGAAAGAAAGAACTGATGAGCAAGATCAGGAGCTGATTTGTCTCTATTGCAGCTACTTAACTTTTCCATTGCAATGAAAGCAGCCTTATACAACATGCAAATAAGTGCACATGCTGTGTACCAATAAAACATTATTTACAGCCAAGGCCAGATGGCTCGGTTGGTTGGAGCATCATTCCCTACACCAAAAGGTTGTGGGTTGGATTCCTGGTCAGAGTGTGTACAAGAGGCAACCAATAGATGTTTTCTCTCTCTCTCTCTCTCTCTCTCTCTCTCTCTCTCTCTCTCTTTCTCTCTCTCTCTCTCTCATCAATATAAATGCATCCTCCGGTGAAGATTAAAAAATATATATTTACAAAAACAGGCAACTAGCTTGTGGTCTGTAGTTTATAATCTTGATCTATATCCTACCTAGGGTTTATACATGGAATATGCATTCTACACATTATTTCCTGAAATTGAGCCTTTGGAAAGAACTAGAAAAAAGAGTTGCAGGTATATTCTCTGGTAAGATCAAATTTATCTAAATTAGGGCAGATCCCATACGTTCTGATAGTAAGCAGATAAAAATAAAGCTAGCATCTTTTTATGATAGTCTCCCCCAGGGAGGGTGGGCAAAGCCAAGAGTTACCTCAGAAAGCTTAAGATAGAAACAGATGTTCAATCTCAAAATGGCACACCATTAAAAATAACCATGATATACTTATTATGGAAATTGCCATCAATGCTAGATTTAAAAATTTTGTCATGGTTGTAAAACAAACTTCAGTATATACACACCATGAAGCATAGTCATAAAAAGAAATAAAGTATTGATGCTATGATGTATATGAACCTTGAAAGTATGCTGAGTGAAAGAAGTCAGTCACAAAAGTTCATATACTGAATAATTCCATTTTTATGAAATATCCAGAAGAGACAAGTCCATAGAGACTGAATGGAGCAGACTGGTGATTGCTAGGGGCTGGAGTGAGGGGAACGGGGAGTGAGTGTTAATAAATGTGGGATTTTCTTGGGGGTGATAAAAATGTTTGGAAATATACAGAGCTGGTGGTAGTAGAACATTATGAATGTACTAAACAGTACTAAATGCAACTAAAACTCTGTACTTTTTAATAGTTAATTTTATGTAATATAGATTCCACTTCAAAAGAAAATTCAGTGTAGTACCCTTGGAACCTTCTAGATTAATCAACAGAGTAACATACTGTCAGGTAACTTAATTATTTAACCAGTTTATATAATTGGTAGATCCATACCAAGTAAATGTTGACAGACAGCTGAAAGATATGATGATGCCTGATCTTAAGGCACTTTTCTTGATAATCAGCTCTTGAAGCTTTTCCTAATATATGACAAAAAGTTATATCAATGTGTAAAGGAGAATGCTTTCTGAAAACCCTGGAAGAGAGATGTAGGAGTCTATAGACCCAGGCCCAAAGTGATCTGATATGTTACTATGTTAAGTTACAAAATGGGTAGTCATGCAATTAAGAGAAATAAATAGATCCCTCTTCCATTTATTCCAAGTGACTGCTATGTCATAAGACAGATCCTACAACCTTGAACCTCTAAGTGGTATGTTTCCCCGAAAATAAGACAGTGTCTTATATTAATTTTTTTCTCCCAAAGTTGCGCTAGGTCTTATTTTCAGGGGATGTTTTATCTTTCCACGCCCTATGTCTTATTTTCGAAGGATGTCTTATTTTCGGGAAAACATGGTAGTTATTAATGAGCACCAGTAGCCATGAGTCTAAGTATAGCCCATAAATCTCTGGTTAGAATGAAAAGAAAGAAAACTGTCATTAAAGTTGCAATAATTTGATGTTACCCATTACAAGTTTCTTCACAAAATAATAGCAATTAAAAACAAAAATCATTAAGCTAAGTCTAAAGATTGCATGCTAAATTTGCAAACTACAAGTTGCAATTTGTAAAAAAGGGAACTGGCATAAAGCTGTCTAGAGGAAAAAGCCTCATAAACGAATTCATTATAGGGGAAAGAAGAAAGCTCTGGTCTATTTGAACAGAATTAAATCCATGTAAAACTAACAAAAGTCAATCAACGGCAGGACCAGAGCTTATCCTGTCAAGAGAATTAATCTAATGGTAGCTTTTAAGGAGGGAGAGGGACATTTTCTATGTTTCATTGTTTTAGAATATTAAATGTACAAAATTCTTGAAATAAAAACTTGGATAATCCAGCAGAAATGTCAAATAAAATCTCTAACCTATGGAAAAAGTCTCACATATTTTAACTGTGACCTTGTGAAAAAAAAATAATTTACAAAATCTGGGCATCAAGACTTTTAACCACACATAAAATAGAAAAAAAAAAAGTTATTCTTACAATGAATGCCCTTCCACTTAATACAACAAATTTTCTCTTAGGGTCGACTTACTAGGAGCTGTCAGGGCAACCATAATGATCAAATTAATTATATAAACTTGGTCACTTAGACTCTGTTTCAGGCTGGGGATGGTGGTAAACTCAAGTGTGTCCTTGCACACTCTTGGGTCTCCAGCCTGGGCAGTGGTTGCACAGTCCTCTTCTGTAAGTTAAACCTTCCTTCCCCTTAAGAGCTGGGGAGAGTGGTCTATGCCTGCTGGGGGGGGGCGGGGCACATCCTGCCTAAGTCATCAACTGCCTCCTGGCTGCACTGCTGACCACTTGCCCCCCTTGGTTTCTATGACCACTCTCTTCAGTCTTCCTGCTTCTGACATGACCGTCTTCACCTCCTTCTTGGCCCATCTTCCCAACGGGAGGGTCTGTCTCAGTCTCCACTCTTCCCACTGCACATTCCTCCGGGACTAGTTCTCTCCTGCTTGAAACCTTCTCACTGGCCTCCCAGTCCCTTTAGGACCACGACTAACACTTCCTGTGCCCTGGAAGACGGCATAATCTGGTTCCCATCCCCTTACACGCTTCCTGCTGGATCCCCTTTCCCTGGCTCTTTGTGCTGAAGCCGGGCAGACCTCCTACCACCTATTCTGTTCTTTCCACCCGGAGGACTGCATGCCTCTGGCTGTGCCTTGCAGCCCACTCATATCTGAGAGCTCGGCTCACACTCTGGCTAAGCCTTCCTTGCCTTGGCATCGGACACCACTCACCCACCCCACCACAAGGGTTCCTGGAACCTGTGCCACTCCCTACCACTTATCCCAACTGTAATAAATAGTTGCATGCTTAGTGCTCAGCTCCCCTGCTAGCCAGACGTGGGTCAAAATACCAAACCCATGTCTGGCTTGCTCACCATCAAACCCCCAACATTTTGCACACCACCTTCCTCGCAAACATAAATCACTGACTTTTACTGAATGACTGATGAAACCCATCGATTGCCATGGTTTCCACTACATTCCCAAGTAATCAGACATTTCCTGAAACGTCTTTTCTGAACTCCAGATCTATATTTCCAACGAACATAGTGTCTGACCTTTCTTATTTCCCCCTCGTTACTATATGTCTTCCCACACGAATCAGTTCTTCCCTCTATATTCTCTGTTTTGGTCAATGATATCACCAGCTGCTCAGATGTCCAAGGCCAGAAACTGCTGAGTCCTTTCTTTCCTTTATTCTCCCTTTCTGAATAGTTCCCTAAAAGTCCCCCCCCCCTTTTATCTCCTCCCCCTTATTTCTACAGACAATCTTTGGCTCAAGTCCTCACTTCTTTCTGCTCTAAATTATTACAACTTCCTAACTTGTCTCCCCGCAGTCCTGACCACCACCGATCCAACCTATTCTCTTTGCCAAAGGCTTTAAAAAAAATTTTTTTAATAAATTACGAACATGATCAAATCACACAAGACCCCACTTCTTTAAAAATCTCCTAGGGCTCCCGTTATCTCCTAAACTCTATACTCAGCGTCCAAGAGAGGCCCCGCCATGGTCGACCCTGAACTCCACGCTCCAGCCACAAATTAATTACTGGCAACGCTCAACGGCTCCGTCTTGTCCGTTTCACCTCCGAAAGGATGCTGCGTAGGCACGAAAGGTGGCCCCTCCTCGGTCACCCGGCTGCTGGTGCTTCGGAGGAAGCACCGGTCCGAGCCCCCACTCTTGCCCGGTGCCTCCATCCCATCAAACCTCATCCCTGCACCGAGGTCACCGCGCACGTCTCGCCCCAGGTCCTGCGGTTCCCACCTGCGCGCCCCTCCAGCTCCAGCGGCGCCCAGGGCGCAGGAGGGCGCACGGCGACCCGCCGCTCCGGTGACCTTCGAGCCCGGCGCTCCCGGGCCCTCCGACCCCGGATCCTCCCCTCTCCCCTCGCGTCCTCCTGCTCCCCGCCCCGGGAGCGCCGAGGGGCCGGAAAGAAAGCGACGCCGCGGGCCACTTACCATTCTCCCCCGCGCTCCCCGCTCCCCGCAGCTCGCCGGCCCCTCCCTCCCGCTCCGCTCCAGCCCCAGCCGCTCCTTCCTCTTCCCCGGCTCCCTGGACACCCGCCCGGGGAGGGGCGCAGGAGAGGCGCACAGGGGAGGCGGTGACAGGTCCCGCGGACCGAACTACAACTCCCGGCGTGCACCATCCGCCCGGGAGCCAGCCGGCCCGGGCCTCGCCCCTCTCAGCCCGCCCGCCCCGCCCCAAACTCCGACTCCTTAGTGCTAATGCGCCCGGTGCCGACAGTCCTCAGGCCCGCCCTTCCTACAAATCCCGACGTGCACTGCGCCACCCAGAGGCCCAACGTACCCGGATCCCGCTCCTTCCTACAAATCCCAGCGAGCCCCGCGCCGCCCGGGAGCCGACACGGGTGCCCACCCCCTTAAAGGGGCAACTACTCCCTCTTGACCGTGTCTGTGGAGACGGCGATCGCGAGAGGGGGTCGGGCGGCTCGGGGTGTCCCCGTGACCGGACCCGGTCCCGGTCCCTGTCCCTGCACCAGAGGCGGCCCCGCCGCCTGCGAAGGGATGCGGGGAAGCCGCGTCGCTGACCACCCTTCGCCACCCGGCGCCGGAGAGCGGGTCCCAGGATGTGCGGCGTCCGGAGCATCCAGGTGAGCGCCGCACGGGACTCGGGCGAGAGGCTCGGAGCCTCCGGTCCTGCCCGAAGTTCGGGCCCTCGGGGCTCCCTCCCTGGGTCTCTCCTCCCGGAAGTCTTCCCTTCCCTGGGCTCCCCTCCTCTCCTCTCTTCTCCTCTCCTCTCCGAGGGTCCCTCGGACGAGGGCCTTTCTGCCCCCAGCGCCCCGCTCTTCATTCCGCCTCCTGCGCGGGGGCCTGCGGAGAGAAAGGGGGCTCGTCCAGCTTCCTCACAGCCGCCCGGGCAGACCGGGGCCCCGGCGGTGGACCCGGGATTGCGTTCCGGGGGTGCGATGGGGCCGAGGCGCGAAGTGCAGTCTTGATGCGTAAAGCCGGGGGGGAGCCGCCCGAGGCAGCAGGTCCAGGGCCGGCGGGCTTGCAGACCCTCAGCCGGCTGCATCCTAACTTGGGTGTCAGGTTCCTGTTGCCGTAGCGGGTCTACTAGCAGGGTCACCTAACGCCTCCTGCCAACTGGCCGTTCTGGGCCATCACCCAGGAAAGACGGGGGGACCTGCCGGGGGGGGGGGGAAGGGGGACCCAGCGAGGGCTGGGATTCAGCGCCCAGCGGGGGCAGGGGGGTGCAGGGGTGCCGGTATGGGTCCCTTCCCCCTTCCCCAGGACTCCTGCAGTTCCCTTCTTCTGCCCCCTCGTCCGCTTTCCCGGCTCTAAAGGAAGAGCAGATGCAGGTCGCTGACCTCCAACCCCCCTTGCAGGCCCTGAGTCTCAATGCTTTTTGCATCTCACCTGATAGCACCTGAGTTAACGTGATGGCTGTTCTAAACGCCGCCCCTTTGGAACACACGCTCTGACGTTCACGGGATGTTAGATCGTATGATGACCTAGGTATGCGATAGCCCAGCCTTTTCATAGTTATGCTTTTTTCTTCTTCTTCTTCTTCTTCTGGTTATTCTTTGGATCAGAGCATCTTACGGGTTCCAAATTTCTCCTGCAATATTGATTTTTTTTTTTAAAGTAGTGTCTCAGTGATTGGATTGCTCCATGGACTGTTTCATTTTTGTAGAGTTTAATTAACAATTAAACACCTTAAAGATTTTTAATGACCATAAGAATTTTCTTTCTCCCTTTCTTAACTAATTTTCCAGTTCTTTTATTAATCCGATATGAATAACCATAGATTGTACTTTCAGGATAAGTGCTTTATTTATTTATTTTTAACTTTTTATTTATTTATTTAAGGTGCTTTTTAAAAAAAATAAATACACTTTACACCCTTCAATTTGTTAAATTTTAAAATAAGCTTTTAAAGTTAAATCCCCCATAAATTAGATTGCGGAAGATTGTGTGGGGGAGTTTCTTCCCTAGATCTTTCCACAAGCTCCTCCTTTGTTACCTGTTCAGTTCCTGTTTTGTTTTGTTTTTTTGTTGTTTTTTTTTTTTTTTTTTTTTTTTTTTGCTGAACCTGGAAGTGTTAGTGGTATCATGAGGAAATTCTGATTTTAAACCATGAAATAAAAATATTCTTCATATTTTAGTTTTTCAGAGGAAGCTAAATAACTGGTACTGGACCCCCTGTTCTTGCCCACACTGCTTGCTCCAGAATTTTCTGCACATAACCCAAGCACCAGGTCCGTGCCCCCCACCCCTGGGGCCAGGTTCAGCTGGGTGGGTGAAGCTAGCATCCCCATTTGGGCTGTCCTGTGAACTGTGGGCTGCAGGCAGACAGTGCTGTGCAATGAATAAGTTAGATTCTTTTTAAAAATATATATATTTTATTGATTTTTTCAGAGAGGAAGGAGAGGGATAGAGAGTTAGAAACATCAATGAGAGAGAAACATTGACCAGCTGCCTCTTGCATCCCTCACTGCCTCTTGCACACCCCCACTGGGGATGTGCCCGCAACCAAGGTACATGCCCTTGACCAGAATTGAACCAGGAACCTTTCAGTCCACAGGCTGATGCTCTATCCATTGAGCCAAACTGGTTTCAGCTAAATTAGACTCTTTTTCAGCAGTTGATCTGGTAAATCTGAGTGGTCTGGAAGGTTCCAATGAAGAGAAGTGAAGGAGAGTCTTGTGACTGCACAGGAGCCAGAGGCTGGGCAGCAGAGCTACAAGGTTTTCAAGTTTTAGCCCATAATAAAGAATTGAAAAAAGACTAACTGCTTCTGCTCCCCTCTGCTGGCCTCTCCTGTCCCTAAAGGGACTCCATACCCTAGGGCTCTGGGCTCTGGGGGCCCGAGCAGCAGATGTGTAAGAAGAAAGTTCCCTCACATACTCTGTAGTCGTGATGGGGCTCATGGTTAGAGGTGTGTGGGAAAAATCTTTAACTTTAGTGACTTTGTTCTGAAAAAGCCTAATCTGAGATTACATTATTATGCTTTGCTTTTCAGCTTTTTATCCAATAAACGGTATGTGACATTTCTGAATAGCTAAAAATTTTCTGTGGAATAAGAGTAATGAGATTTTAATGTAAAATGACAATGAATTAAAAGTATCAGAAGTTCTTTTGAGCAGGCTTATTGGTGAACCCATTTGCCCTTTTATTTTAAATAATTTTAGACATTTATTACAAATATTTTTCTTCTTAACCAAATAATCTTATCAATTTAAAAATTTTGAGATACCTGTTCTACACTTAGAAAAACAAGCAAAACTCGTTAGAAATTGGGTAAGTTAGGGAAATGTGTGTGTGTGTGTGTGTGTGTGTGTGTGTGTGTATTTATTTATTTTAATCCTAACCTGAGGACATGCTTAAAAAAGGAAGAGAGAGAAACATTGATCGGTTGCCTTCCGTACTCTTCCTAACTGGGGATCAAATCCACAATCCAATATATGCTCTGACCAGGAATTGAACCATCAACCCTTCAGTTGCACAGGAGGATGGATGCTCAACCAACTGAGCCACTCAGGCTGGGTGGGGAGATATATTTTAATTAATGTTAGAATAGAAACTTTTTCAAATAGAAACTTTGGGGGAGAGGTTGTGCTCAGAGTATTGATTTTACTATTGCTCTGAGTGAAAAGCAACCTAGGGTTTTACTGTAGCTGAGTCATCCTGAAAATAATGACTCTGGCTCTGTTTTAGGGCATTTTCTAGCTTTTTAAAGATAAAAATGTCATGGGCTTGGTTTCTTGCTCTGCAATGTAAAAGGTGGTCATTACATGTAATAAAGATTTAGAGGGGAAAAAATAAACATTTATATAGGATTCTTAAAACTCTTCTGAGGTGATTGTAGATTCACCTGTAGTTGTAAGAAATAACGTAGAGAAATCCTGTAGACCCTTTGCCCAGTTTTCCCCAATGGTCGCTCCTTACAAAGCTAGCATAAGCAGGAAATTGCACTGATATAACCCACCCCCTTATTCAAATTGCACCAGTATCACATGCATGTGTGTGTGTATCACGATTTGTACAATTCTATCACATGCGTAGATTTGTGTGGCCACACCACTGTCAGGATACAGAACATTTCTGTCCCACAGGTCCCTCCTGCTACCTTATTATAGTCACAACCATTTTCTCACCCTTCCCTGACAACCACAATCTGTTCTCCATCTCTACAGGTTGTCATTCAAGAATGTTGTGTAAATGGAATCGTGCAGTGTGTGTGACAGGCTTGAGATCTGTCCCAGGTTGTATGTATCAGTAGTTCCAAGATAATAGAAACTTGAAGAATCTATACTAATAAAAGAGTAATATGTTAATTAGACTGGGAGATCTTCTGGACAAAGCCATGGTGGTAGGGCCGAGGCAGAGGCAATTAAGGGTGATCAGGCTAAGAGGGGAAAGCAATTGGGGGTGATCAGGCTGGTGGGGGGAGGGCAGTTGGGGATGAGCAGGCCAGCAGAAGGGAGGCATTTGGGGGCAAGCAGGCCAGCAGGCAGAGTGGTTAGAGGCCATCAGGCAGACAGGCAGGTGAGTAGTTAGGAACCAGCAATCTTGGATTTCCAGAGGGATGCCCCCTGAGGGATCCCAGGTTGGAGAGGGTACAGGCTGGGCTGAAGGACACTTTCACATCCATCCCCATGCACAAATTTCATGCACCTGGCCACTAGTTTGTTATAAAAACATAACAAATCCCAATCGTGTCTTTTTAGTAATGAATTATAATAACAAAATAACACTGGAGCTAAAAATGTTTACTATTCACTCAGGAATAAACATGTTACAATTTAGTAGTCCATAGGATTTGGTAGCCAAGTTTTAAGGGAAAATGAGTTTATGAAAAAAGGAGTGATTCATATTTTAAAGGTCTAAAAAAAAATTCAGTTTTATGTTGATAATTTAAGCTTGTTTCAGTGGAAATATTAGTTTGATTACAACTAAAATTCTCAAACATTTCTCATAAAAATTAATAGCTCCCTCTGGTATCATGGTGTAGAGGAATAGTTATTTAATTCCAGGGACTTGTTGAAAGAAGGAACTGGGAATTAAAGAAGGGATATTCATTCACACACAAACTATGCAGCGGGTTATTTTTCTGAAGTTTGAAATCCATAAAAATCACTCCGGTGGGGAAATGGGGGGCATTAATGAAGCATCTGACATTTCTGTCTTGGTTCTGAAATATACTAAAGTGTACACTTCTGAAGTAACCATTCAATTCTTGCTCTCCCTTTGGACAATAGAAGCTTAGCAATTAAATGAGTCATTAAACTAACAGATCAACTGTATTGTAGGTATTACTGTGATTGGTTAATCGTTTATTTATTTTTAAGGTGGGAACATTTACTTAGAGTATTAAAACTGTAACAAACAGTAAGTTCTCACTTATCCTATCTTCTTAAGAAGTGAACTGTTCTAGGTAAGTGAATTCTTGTAGCATTAGGAGCTGAAGCATCTAAAAATGTATTGAAATTGAATAATCTCCTGACTTTTTAACCAGAATATAGTCCTTTTTTTGGTGACTTTTCATTGTCATTCTGAACGTTGGTGGCTCTGCTAGCCTCCAGGGGTGGTATTTTTAGGATCTGCTGAAGTGCATAGAACAGTTCGGCCCTCACCAGGTCACCTAGGC